GATAGCCATAGATTTTCAGCTTTCAAATCTTTCATCCAAGATTCATTCGTTTTTTTTGGACGGAAACCATGGCGTTTGCCGTTGAAGATCCAGAAACCAATCGCAGCGGTGAGTTACAGAATCGGAGAAGAGAAAGTACGGTAGCTCAGTACGGCGGTTACAATCATCCTCTCCTGCTATTGGCATCTGACAATTCAAGCTTGATTCCGATCAATTTTCAATTGACGGAATCCAATTATGTGGCCTGGAGTTATGCGATGCGGCGAGCTCTTGGTTCTCGGAACAAATTAGGTTTTATCACCGGGAACTATGTAAAACCGAATCATCAAGATCCTGATTTCGAGCAGTGGATGCGTGTTAATGACAATTTTGTGGCTTGGATTCTCAACACAATTTCACCTGGACTTGTTGAGAATTATACTCTGGCAGAAACTGCTTTTGATCTTTGGGAAGAATTGAAATACAGGCATGGCACTAAGAATGGGCCTCAAATTTACCAGCTTAGAAGGGAGATCTGTACGATATCACAAGGAAATGAATCTGTGGCTTCATACTACTCAAGACTCAAACGACTTTGGGATGAACTCAATGTGTTGGATCCAACGGAGGATTGTGAATGTGGAAAGTGCACTTGTCATCTCAGATTGGGAGGAATGAAAGACGCGAAAAATAGGTTATATCAATTCTTGACTGGTTTAAATGAATGTTATACTGCAGTTCGTAATCAAATACTCATGATTGAACCTCTGCCTGATGTGAAAATAGCCTATTCTATGGTGTCAACTGTTGAGAAACAAAATCAGGTCAATGTGTTCTATAGTACAGTTTCAGATCAAAGTGCAATGAAAGTTCAACAGGTTGACAACAGTATAGCAGAAGCAACAACAGCAGTGCAGAGAGGAAAATTCAACAAGACTGTTAAAGAAAATGATTATAGAAGGGACAAAGCAGCTAAGAAACTCATGTACTGTGACAATTGAAAAATGACTGGACATAAAAGAGAAGGTTGTTTCCGTATTATTGGATTTCTAGATTGGTGGAATGACAATCACAAGGAAGGGAAGAAATCACAGGTTAAAAGGTCAGGGAGTTACTCAGCTAATCTTGTGGAATCTAAAATGGAGCAACAACTGGAAGGATCAAATGGTGATGGGAACAACATGCAGCAGATCATGATGAACACTTTGATCAAGTTACAGCAGGACATGAGAAAGCTTATGAAAGGAAATCAATCAGCAGAAGGATATGACAGAGTGAATTTTGCACAATATCATGATTTTGCAGGTATAAGCAATTTTACAGCATTGAATTCCTTAAGTCCTGTTGATAAAATGGTATTGTTTACTTCATGGTTTTTAGATACAGGAGCTACTGGTCATATGTGCTACCTTTTAAACCTGTCTGCATCATTTCAACCTGTTAACCATTACACCCCGGTTTGTTTACCAGATGGAAGCACGAAAAGTGTTAAGAATGTAGGCAATGTTTTGCTTTCTGAAACTTTACAGCTTAAAGATTGTTTACATATACCCACATTCCAATATAACCTAATCTCAGTCAGTAAATTAGCCAACTCTTCCAACATTGATTGCCTGTTCTCAACAAACTTTTGTTTGTTGCAGGACCAAGTGACTAGAAGGCTTTTGGCAGTTGGAAGAGTAGTAAACAAGCTTTATGTTTTGGATCACACATCTTTCTCACAGGACACCATTTTCAGCTTCATGAAGAGCAATGTTAACCATCTTTTTGTTCAGTATGTTAATTCTAGGAAATGCCTTATGTCAAATGCTAATTGCAATAAGTCCACAAATGCAATCTGGATCATAGATTAGGTCATGTACCTGACTATGTCATCAGTCATCTAGGATTATTCAATAACAATGATGCATCTATTTCAAAACAGTGTAATATCTGCCCTTTGGCAAAACAGCACAGATTGAAATTTCCAGTTAGTTCTATTCAGTCTACTTCCATTTTTGATCTTGTTCATATTGACATATGGGGACCAAATGCTCAAAAATCCATTAGTGGAGCTCAATACTTCTTAACCTTGGTAGATGATTTCAGCCGGGCAACTTGGACATACCTTATGCAACATAAATCTCAGACAGTTTCCATTCTCACAGCTTTTTTTAAAATGGTCCAGACTCAGTTCAATAAGGTTGTTAAAACCATCAGGACTGATAATGGATCAGAATTTCTTAGTTTTAACTGTCAAGATCTCTTAAAAGATCTTGGCATCATTCATCAAAGATCTTGTATATATACTCCGCAACAAAATGGAGTTGTGGAGCGTAAACACAAGCATCTTCTTGAAATATCCAGATCATTACTCTTCCATTCAGGTCTTCCCCAATATTTTTGGGGGGAAGCATTATTCACAGCAACTTACTTGATAAATAGGCTGCCATCTTCTGTGTTGGATTGGAAAACTCCATATCAGCTCTTATTCTCTAAACTTCCAGATTTCCAACACCTTAAAGTGTTTGGAAGTCTTTGCTATGCTACAAATACAAATCCACACAAAACAAAATTTGAACCCACGGCCATTAAGTCAGTTTTCATTGGATATCCATTAGGTCAAAAAGCTTATAAACTGTATGATCTAGATTCCAAGAAAACATTTGTCTCTCGAGATGTTATTTTCCATGAAAGTCTTTCCTTTCTTGGATTCACCATCCAAAACAGTATCCAGTAAACAGACAGTTTCTTCTAGTCTGTTTGATCAATTCCCTTCCACAAACACAAACTTCTTTCCTACCTTTACTTCTTTAGAAGAGCATGTTGATACTCATTTCTCACATGATGATATTCTTACTCTAATCCAGTCATGTCCTGATCCCAACCAGTTGAATACAATTCCTGACAGATCATCACCTGTTACAAATACGTTTTCACCACTTCCAGTCATCAATGCCAATCATCCAGTAGACATTGTCACTTCTGAATATGTCACTGATACCTTGGTTCCTCTTAGGAAAAGCACCAGAGCTAGAAATGCCCCTAAGTGGATGAAAGATTATGTTCCTGGTAAAGCATGTTTCTCTCACACTCATAACACTTCACATGATCCAATTCATGAATATAAACAGTACACACCTCACAGCTTTCCTTTTTATCCCATGCATAATTGTACAGTGGCTCATGTATTTTTTTTTAACCAAAGTAGATAGTATCATAGAACCAACAGGTTACTTAGAGGCAAAACAGTTTCCAAGTTGGAGAGATGCCATGGATGCTGAGCTCAAGGCATTAGAGGATAACCACACTTGGGAAATCACAGATCTGCCACCTGGAAAAAGGGCGATAGGATGTAAATGGGTTTACAAAATCAAATATTGCTCTGATGGCAATATAGAAAGGCTGAAAGCAAGGTTAGTAGCAAAAGGTTACAATCAAGTAGAGGGAGAGGACTATTATGATAGTTACTCTCCTGTGGCCAGAGTGGGAACAGTTAGATTAATGTTGACAATTGCTGCAAGTGCTGGATGGTTTATACATCAGCTGGACATAAACAATGCGTTTCTCCATGAATATTTGGAGGAAGAAGTGTATATGTTACCTCCAGAAGGGTATAACAAGGCATCACCAGGGAAGGTTTGCAGACTGAGAAGATCTCTACACGGTCTTAAACAAGCATCAAGACAATGGAATGTGGAATTCTGTTCAAAAGTTCAGAACCTTGGATTCCAGCAGTCACAACATGATCCATGTTTGTTTACTAAAGGAACTGGAGGTGATTTCATGGCATTACTGGTTTATGTTGATGATGTCTTGGTAGCTGGACCAAATGAACAATCGATTATGACCATCAAAAGAGCACAAGACAATGCTTTCACAATCAAGGATCTTGGTAATGCAAAATATTTCCTTGGAATTGAGTTGACCAGATCCAGTGAAGGTCTTTATCTCAACCAGAGGAAGTACATCATGGATATTCTCAAATCAGTTGGTCTCTTGGGATGCAGACCTACAACAACTCTACTACCAAAGAACCACCAGTTCACTAATAAACCCGGAAATCCCATAGATGAAGCTTCCAGATACAGGAAAGTTGTTGGTCAGCTGCTTTATCTCAGCTTTACTAGGCCAGATATACAGTTTGTTGTCCAACAGCTAAGCAGGTATGTGCAAAAACTATGTGAAGATCACTGGAATGCCATGATCCATGTGCTCAAATATCTTAAAGGAACACCATCACATGGTCTTTTTTATGCAGTTCAGAATTCACCTCAGCTTGTTGCTTATAGTGATGCAGATTGGAATTCAGATCTAGTTGACAGAAAGTCAATAACAGGTTTTTGTGTTTTTTTTGGTTCATCCTTGATTTCATGGAAGACTAAACAACAAGGTACAGTATCATGCTCTTCAGCAGAGGCTGAGTATAGGAGCATGAGTTTTACAGCCAGGGAGTTATTATGGTTGTCATATTTGCTGCATGATTTTACACATCTTAGTTATCTTGCCTATTCCACTTTGGTGTGATAATCAAGCAGCAATATACATTACTGAGAACCCGGTGTTTCATGAAAGGACAAAACACTTGGAAGTGGATTATCACTTTGTGAGACATCAGTTTCAGCAAGGTTTTTTGGTGCCACTTCATGTTACTTCACAAGAGCAGATTGCAGACATCTTCACAAAGTCATTGCCGTTTCCCTTGTTCTGCAAAATGTTGTCCAAGCTTGGCTTGAAGAACATTCTTCTAGCTACAGTTTGTGGGGGGGAATGTTGAAGAATCAGTTCTTGGTCATGATCAGGATGAAGAACAAGAAGCAGAATTCAAGCCGCCTTGAATTGCCTTTACTCTGTTTTGTACAGATTTTATTAGTGCAGGGGTAGATTTGTAAATCACTTGTATAGTTGTCCTACATGGCTTAATTAGTTAATTAGTTAGGCAGTTAGGCGTAGTTAGGCGTGCTGATCACGCAGTACATACTTGTATATATATACTCGTATACACACGTACAAAAAAAGATAATACAATACAGTTTTCTTTTATTTGTTCAAAGCTCTAGATTGTTCTCCTTCTAAACATTTCCTTCAAATCAAGACAAATTGGCTCTCTACCTTTTCCAGATCTATGTTTTCTGTTGCATTTTGAACTGAAATTTTTGGTGAAACTCTCTCAATCGGACCTAATTCTTGTTCCCCAACACTTTTATGAGCTTTTCTTCCCCTGGTCTTTCCATTTGTCATGGCGGGCGCATGTTAGGTTAACATGCGCCGAGAGAGAAAGGAACGAAGAGCCGAAACTTTATTTACTTGTTTTTTTCCCCATTGGGGAGGGGGAGTAAAGGCTGAAACTTAATTTGTTAACAAGAAAGTATGTACGGTAATAATAGGTTTATCAAATTAACAAGGGATAGTAGTAATTAATAGTTGATTCACATAATCTGTACTCAAGTCAGAGAAGAATGAGCCTATCAATTAATAAGAATTCAAATATTGTGCTTCTAACAAAACATTAAATGTAGGCTTGCATAAAATAAATGTGGATTATTCACCATGACTACATCTATAAAATCTGGCTCCGACAGGACGTAGAATACATGATTTCTCATCGGAGAAGAAGACATGAGTGGTTATCAAAAAAGAAATTTGGCCTTGTTTCTCTACATCTACTGTTGCTTGTTTCCTCCAACGTTATCCGTCGTTAATGCTTCGGCCGGCGGAAAGTATCATGTCTACATTGCAAATGGGCTGCCTGACAACTTGAGAGTCAATTGCTGGTCTAATGACGAGGATTTGGGCGACTATAATGTTCCGGTGAACCAACGCTTCCGTTTTACGACAACCACAGAATTAGCCAAATATTTTGGGACATTCTGGTGGGGCCAGAAGACCAATGCTTTTGTTGTGTTTAGTTCTCAAGTGGCTTCAACGTATTGCGGTGAGGCTGATCCGAATATTTCTAGAATATGTTATTGGTTAGTGACGTCAGATGGCTTTTATATAGCCAATGTAACTCGTCCTCCTCCAGAAGCTTTGACTAAAGTTCATCCCTGGGCTAATTAATTAAATCATTACAAAGTATTTTCTATAGCTACTAATATATACTGCTACCTAGATCGGATAATGTAATAGCTCATTCCCTTACCAAGTTTGCCAAAACGGCTTCTATAATCGAAATGATTTGGAATGACTTCCAAGTTTCATTTCTCAATAAGTGTTAGACCATTTTCAGTAATCGTTAATGAAAGTTCGTTTTTCATATATATATATATATATATATCCTACTATATTAGAAATAAAAACCCCATTTTCAAACACTTCCTATGATTGCCACGTGACATGAAGAAAGTACTAAATTGCCCTTTTGTCTATCCATAACTAAATTACTAAATCCTCCTTTGCACTTTACGTGACACGTTTTTTTTTTTAAAAAAATTTCTTTATGTTTCATTCAATTAGAGTGGTTTTCTTTTCTTAATTATGGAGTCTAAATTGAATTGATCAATTAGGTTTTTGTTACAAAGTGTCAATTTTGTTTTAAACTTATACCCTTCGGATGAAACTTATTACAAAGCTATTAAAAATCTCCAAAATTAAGTATTGATTTGGCACGACCAATGGAAGACATCAATAAATCATCTTACTAATATTTAAACTTATTAGGATGCTTTTATATTTTGTCTAATATTTACTTCAACACATATATTCGATTAAGTCTATTTATATTTAATAAGTAACACTTATAAAATATTTCTAAAACATACATGGCGAAATATAATTTCTTTTTTTTTAAATATAAATACTTCTATGATCACAATTATAAAATATTTCTAAATCCTTCAACTATTTCTAAAATATATCGCTCCAAATATAATTTTTTTTTTAAATATAAACATTTCTAAAATCTACAGATAGACTGGACCAGGGTCGCGCATTGCGCGACCAGACATCACTAGTATATATATATACTACCTTATATATGAGAAGAAAGAACGTACTTTTTGTTTCTTTTATATATGCTCTTCATTTTACTTGAAATTGGGTATATATACAATAGTTCAGTTCATTCTATATATTCATTCATCATGTTGAAAAAAACAATAAGATAATAGGACTAATAGGAACAAAGCTTTACTTTCTCTGTCCAAAATTATTGTCCAATTTGATAACGGACGATATGAGGGAGTTGATGATCCTTGTTTGCGGTTTTACTTGTGGCCCCATAGTAGATCTATTAATTAATTATTTTGAAGTCCACATCACAAATTGATAATGCTAAGTTTACTCGACGAACTAATTATTTATGAACTCCGGCCCCTTTTGCAGGAGAATCTGCAATTTAATTGTTGTTTTGGTTTTCCATATATATACTCTGAAAGAAAAAATTAGGATCACATTTATGAAAATGGCCGATTGGGATGAGATTAAAAGCGTGTAAGTTTTGGAGTTGACTTATAACTTTAAGTTTATGTGGTGACTTCTGGTAGTTGTTGAAGTCAATAAAAAAACTCCTTTTACGGCCTTCTCTTCTTCAAGTTTACATATGGATACTGGTTTCTTATAGCTTTTTTTTTTTTTTTTTTTAACTTGTATTCTGTTTGCCCAAAAAAAAGTCCAAACCGGAAAAAGATACAAATGTGGACTTAGATTATTTTTGTGGGACTGAACGAAGCAATAATTCTTTTATTTTCGTCTACTCAAACACGGTACATTTTCTTATAATCCCCAAAATTCCAATTACAGTATACGCCTATTTATCTATTTTACCCTAATATTAATTTCGAAGCTCTGACTGCCGTGTAAGCCAATATTACATATTTTTTATTATTGTATTTTATTTTTGCTTTCTGAAAAACCCTAAGACGTACGTTGTCCTTCCTCGGCCATGGCAAACAAGAAGCGACCTCGTCGAAGACCGATGGAGACGAAGGAATTGCCAGCAGAAATTAAACAACATATCATGTTGTTCATGGATCATGTGGACGTGATTCGTGTCTCCGCTGTATCAAAGTCATGGAATTATGCAGCCTCCACTTTCCCTTCCTTGAATTTGGCTGATGATGCCACCAAAGCATCCGAGAATTCGTGTTGGATCTCGGGGATCATCCTCATGGAGATTTTTGTACTAGTATACATTTGCCCGATTTTCCTGTATCTGATTATTTCCCTCCATCTTGTTTTGGGAGGGTTGATTCTTTTACCATCTTATTTTACTTCAAAAATAGATCTTCCTTCATTGCAAGAGTTTGAAAGTTCTGGAATTTATTACCTTAGACACTGATGGCAACTTGTGGAAGTCACTTGAACTACTCATCTCGTGTCTTGAGGTCCTCCAAGTATTCAAAACTACCAAATCGATGTCGATTACAAGCGTTTGACGAACAAGAGATTCAGAGTATCAAGCCGCACTTTGAGACAAATGCACCTACATATCAAACTTCCGATGGATATTCAAGTGAATGCACCTCATTTGTCTGATTTTTCTTATGAGGGTCACGTTTTAACAAAGTTCTCATTTGAAGCTACGTCGATAAAAGAGCCTCATTTTGTTAAACTCCCACCCCAAAGGACCGGCATTGACAACAAATATGGTGAACTTGTGGACCTCCTCATAAGTTTGAATCATTTCGAGAGGGTGAAGTTGGACGATTTTATGGCTCACGAATTAATAGTTCCAGAAAAGTATAAGACCGACATTGATCATGCTCCTCTCCTTGGGAATATCAAGCACTTAACTATTGGTACCCGTTATTACGCCTACAACGGATAGCGGACTTAAACAATTGACAGTTTGGACAGTACGGAACAATAATTCTTTTAGTTAAAAATAGTAAACTATTAATTTTCATGTTTGCTTTAACTCGAATTTTTCTTCTTCATTTCTTAAATTTTTCAAAAAATTTTATAATCTAGAAGTTAAAATACAAAAGTTAAATTAATTTTGGAAACTTAGAATTTATACTACCAGTATATATAAGTTAAGAAGTATAAGAAGAATTGGAAAATAAAAATAAATAAATAAAAATAAAAAGATTAAAAATTATAAAAATGAAATGATAAAAATACCCATGAACCCAAAAGCATGTGAAAAATGAATTTCCGTCTCAAAATTAACAGAATGATCTCAGATTAATTTTTCGCTTAGTAAGATTGACTTGTTATAGAAATAAAAATTAAGAGAATGATCTCAGATTAATTTTTTGCTTAGTAAGATTGACTTGTTATAGAAAAGATTAATTTTTTGCTTAGTAAGATTGACTTGTTATAGTAATAAATTTGATTGATGACCTGTATTAGAATTACCTAATAGTTCAATGATCTGTTTTGAGGTTCACTCTTATATATATATATATATATATATATATATATAATGTGAACCCTAATCAATGCTTTCTGAAAACCCTAATCAATCACCGTCGTCGCCACCAAAAATCAAGAGGCGTCTCCGGAAGATGGAGGAGGAGAAGGAGTTGCCGGAAGAAATTAAGCTGCATATTTTGTCGTTCGTGGATTTTACCAACGTGATCCATGTCTCTGCTGTATCAAAGCCTTGGAGCTCTGCAGCCGCCGCTTTACAGTGCTTGAATTTCACCAACGTCGACGACGACACCTCCCGTAAATCGGATGATTATCTGAAAAGATCTACAGAGAAGGTTGTGTCCATGATGGATTCTGCAATTTCCTTTATCCTCAAATCCAAATCTACTGAGGGGTCACACATACAAAAGTTGAGGTTCAAACTCCATGGCGGGTTCTCTCATCCTTCAATATCAGAGAGAATTGGATCCATAGCTAGCCTTACCTACCAGAACCTAAGGGAATTTGAATTTTATCACGGACATTTTGATGGCGGGATCAATTATTTCTCTGGATCTGTTTTTGCTTCCAGTTCTCTGCATAAACTTGTTTTGGAAGAATTGGTGCTTTCAAGCTCAAATGTTTCTAGACACGAAATAGATCTTCCTTCGTTGAGGGAGTTGTATTTGAGGAGGAATATTCTTATTGATGCTAAGTTTCTTGAACAACTAATCATGAACTCCTCTCATCTTGAGATTTTGGAGATTTTCAGTTGTTCAGACCATGCTTTGAAAATAGGACCCCATCGCAAGTTGAAGCGGGTTATCATTGAGTATTTCCCGCCCGTCAGATTTGCAGAAACGCCAAATTTGGAGTATTTCCGTTATCGATGTAACTATAGTAAATCATTGTTGGAGGAATCACACGTCAGGGATGTGGCCCAAAGTTTAAAAGTTCTCGAGTTGATTTATCCGTGTCACAAAGTTAATTTGATGAACTCCATCGAACGACTCCTTTCCTGTCTTGGTGTCCTTGAAGTATTCAAGTTTAAATGGACTTATGATCGTAATGATCGTTTGACGGAGAGGTTGAGAATATCAAGCAGCACTCTCAGAGAATTGTGTCTACATTTCCATAATCCGGTGAAGGTTCAAGTACTGAATGCACCTCGTTTGTCCAAATTCTATCATCGTGGTTTCACATTGTCACACCTGTCGTTTGAAGCTTCATCGGTGATAAAAGAGGCTATTTTTGTCCAGCGCAACATCTACGACTTGGTCCACCTTAGTAATGCACAACTTGTGGGACTTTTCAGGAATTTTAATCATTGCGAGACTATGAAGTTGGAAGACTTTATGTATAATGAATTGATAGTCGAGAAAAAAGTTCGAAAATGTATCAGGGTTACGCCTCTTCTTGGGAACATGAAGCACTTAACCTTTGGTGCTCGTAACGTTGGCTATTTTTACATTAACAGATTCTCCAACCCAATCAATTTGGACTTGTTGGAGAGTATACTTTGGATGGCTCCTCGACTGCAGACTTTAACCTTTGTTGAGCGTGACAAACCCGCGAGAACCTTTCAATATATATTCGAGAATTCAAACCATGTCGACGCTGGGGAGGAGGTCCCTTTGGTATCTCGGAGGAAGAAAAATTCGATCAAGGTGAAAGTTGAAACCTGCTCCCGTAATGGCGCAAAAGGATTGGAGTTGAAGAAGTATTCTTTCGATGATACTGAGAAATTGGGGGAGGTCGAAATTAAACGATGGAAATTTTGGACAATGTGGGATTGTGGTGATGATAAATAATGCAAGAAGAGCAAGCTCCGTCTCAAGAGTGGCAGTCCAAATTAACACATCTAGGCTCTGTTTCCATTATTTCATCCACAGATGATTCAATATTTCTGTAGACTTTTGAATAACATATTTTCCTCTCAAGTTATGCAGAATTTGCCTTTTCGGAAACTTTTTTAACTCTTGCATTTGTATGCCTCTGCTGTATTATTTGATCAAAACTCGAAGTTCCCTGAAGTTCCTGATACACCTATGAAAGAATAACGTTAGTTTCCATGAGTTAATAGATACATCTTAACAGTTTACAAAACAATATTGCTAATATATTGTGTTAGGTTGAAACCTCAGTGAAGTTGATGATTCCTGTAAAGTTGGTACGTCCACCTTAGGGAAACAAAAAAGGCCAAATATTGATGCGTTCGATCTGTTGACTTCTTATATGGTAGTGAAGATTTTTCTTCATTTTTTATAATTTATACTATTTTATCCAATCATTTTTTTATTTTTTTTATTTTTATCAGCTCGCTCTCCTCAGCAGAAGCCTTTACCCGGGCTAGTCTTTTCCTGATCTGGGCCTCCTCTCAATAATTACCTCCAAAAACTTCCTAAATGGTATCCTGGTGCGAGGAGTCGTACATGGATTACGCGGACTTGGTTCGCGTCTCCGCCTTACTTCTACTTTACAGTTCTTGATTTTGACCGATTCGGATCCTACTTTTTGATGATTGTTCTATGAAGCAATATTTGGATAAGATTACATCCGTGCTGAAGGATGCCGGTGATTCCATCATCATGAAGAAAGTTGAATCTCAGGAGAATTTTGTTTTACAGAGTCTGGGATTTGTCTTCAAAAACAGAAAATCCGACTTTGGATCTCCCGATACATTCTCTTATTCTGTCATGCCTCTCATCGGCCAATTAAGTGTAACCGCCTTCGGGCCCCAAACATTCAGTGTAGTGACGATTTGTTTAAGTCAATCGAACAGCTCCTTCTGTGTCTCGACTCCCTCGAAGTATTCAAATCAGGGATTTGTCCTCGTCACAGCTATAAAACGAAGCCATTCAGAATATCAGGCAACGCCTCCGAAGCAACTGAGCCTTGAACATGTCACCGTTCGACTGGATATTCAAGTGAAAGCACCTTGTTTGTCTGAATTCGTTTATGGCGGTGTTATACCAACGAACTTGTCATTCGAAACTTCATTGATCAGAGAGTAACGCGTTTGTTAGGCGTCACAGGGACCAGTCGGATATTGTGAGTCTGATAAACTTGTGAAGTTCCTCAGGAGTTTGAACCATTTCGAGGCGTTGGAGTTGGAAGATTTTAAGTCTAATGTGTTAACAATGCCAGAAGAGGATCGGCGCGCCAATGGTTCTGCTCCCCTTGGAAACATCAAGCACTTAACCCACAGGTACAGATTATATATTATCAATGGATGACATACTCCGGCCCAATCAGTTTAGAGTTATTGGAGACTGTGCTTTGGATGGCTCCTCAATTGGAGACTTTAATCTTTGTTGATCAGAACAAGTTCAAAAGGACTTTTCAATTTGTGCATCCGGAGTCAATGGATGTGGATCAAGAAGCCCCTTTCCTATCTTGGAGCAACAACACGCCCGATGAAAGTTAAGAGTTGAAAGCTATCCAGGTAATGCTGCACAAGGAGAATTGCGGTTGAAGAAGTAATTTTTTCAAAAATGCAGAGAATTACTTGGAGGGCAACGAACAACAGCATGAAATAGCTGTGGTGATGAACTAGGAAGGTTCCTTTTATGATAGGTTCAATAAAGGGCAGTTCATGCAGGTATAAGCTCGTTTGCTGCAAGTTCGAAAATTTCCTTTTGCTTTGTTTTGTTTTGTTTCTTTCTTCTGCTTTGATGTAACTGTGGACCAACCCTCTTATTTCTTAATTAATAAATGCTTATATTAGCGGATTTCTTGTCTTCGTTCTCATTAATCATCATTTCCTATATATAGATTCAACATTCTGGTGGAGACTTTTCATCAGTAGTAGTATCTATAATCTCCCAAGTGGTGATGCAGAATTCTTGTTAATTTTGGGAAACTCTGTATTTTTCTTGTTAGTCCTGACAGTATTATTTTTTGATCATTAGTCGGTAATGTTTCTACGAGAATCAACATAATCTAAAGTAAACTTCTTCTCCATACGAATTCCAATCATCAATGAATTAATATGTGAACCAGAGGACTAATTAATTTTGTGTTCCACATATCTAACTATTAGTAAAAAGACAAAAAACCTTGAATTTTGACCGTATTTAACCCAAGTGGTAAATAAAGCATAATAAAAATAGAGTTCTAATAATAGTTTTAATTAGGTATAAAGACAGATATTTCAATCATTATTTTCTTAATAATTATACAAACCCTAAATCTATAGATAAAAGGAGGTAGTATAAGTACTGTATAAAACTACCAAAGCTCTTATTGAAATTCTTGGAAGGTGAAATTAAGCGCAATTGAAATTTTCGACCACCAGTGGTGATGTTCAAAGAAGAGTCGGTCAATCAAGAGAGGCAGTCCAAGGAGGTCAAAAGTGCAAGATCCTACATGCTTTTATATACTTTATGTTTTTTGAGATTCCTAAAATTAGTTGACATCTAGGCTTCATTTTCGTTATTCTTGAGCAGAAAAAGTTTACAGTTTTCAGACATTTCGAACAACAACAAATTCTCTTTGTTATGCAGAATTTTGTTTGCTGTTTTTCTGTTAATGAATTTAAACGACTCTCTGCTGGTGTTGGTTAGTTAAAAATCGGAAACCTAGGAAGTTCTCGATGATAGAAGAATTCCTAAATGAGTAATGTTATTATTGTACTCCTTCTGTGTCAAAATTATTGTTCGGTTTAGATTTTTATTGTTCGTTCAAATTTAATTAAAAGTTAACTTTCAAATTAGACAATAATTTTGAGACAAAAAAAATACAACACAATGGAAAATAAATACTTGAAGAATCGATGATCATTTCTAAATCACGATTCAGTGGCAGAGGGAGAGGGGGCCTCCCCAAAAAATTTCAATAGGAGCCCTTTGAAAATCTTAGTTCAAATTTCTGAAAAATAATAATTTCGCCCCTGCAAAAAAAAAATTTACACCTTTTAGTAAAAGATAAATTTTTATTTTTTTCCCCCTACTTTAATTAAATCCTAGCTCCGCCACTGTCTCCATTTGAATATGCATGTGGTCATATTGTAGCTAATGATATACTTCCAAGAAACCAAACATTTTAATGATTTAGGTGTTCTGTCAATCTATGAAAAGAGTTGGTAGGGATGAACACACATTTTAATAGCATTTTAAAAGTGGAAGACTTATCTTCATTACTCTATCGCGCGAAAGGACAAACATACGATTTGATTAATCAACTCTTCTTAATCGTATTTTCCACAATTGGAAAATCGTGTATATCTTGTACGAGAAGGATTAGTAGACTAATAATTGCGCGAACAAATTAAGGAAGAATGGTCATTAATCAAAGAAGGGCTACCCTAAATATGTAGTGCCAAAAGTGGACCAAAGATTTTGATTTGATTTGTTATCCACCCAAAATGTGATAATTGGTGTAGCCGTATGACTCTACCAAAATTGAGAGCGTTAGGCGGCCACTTTGCTGCATCTCCATTGGCCAAGCCATGTTTATGTTGTCGAAAACATATGGAAGTTGAACAAGAACAAATTGCCAATGACACATCAATCTTGGTCGTCCGAATTTGTACGTGTCAACGCGTTATTGGCTGCGTTTCACTAATCACATCTACAAAATTATTGCTCAAGTCTAATCCATGTATGCTTATGAACCAAAATAACTCACAAACACACACACACACACAAAAAGTGAGTTGCTATATAATCTTACTTACCCTTCAAATAATTGGCATGAATTACTTAATCAGATAGGCGTATACCCCCGATTTCGTGAAGCAAAGATTTTTCATGATCTTAATTCCGCCAGTAAGTAATTAATCTAACTCGGAGATAGGTAAACGGCTAATGCTCCTGCTACTAGCCAGCAGACGGGCTAGGGGGGTTTAGGGGGGAATGCAATTAGTATTGATTAATTCAAGATTTGTGTAGGTTAACGTTGAAGCTAAAGGATGACGTTGACGTGGTGGCTACTAATTAAATGTCATTTTCTCGAAATTTAAAGTATCAAGTTGGCTAATAAGATCTAACCCCTATCCTGTTAGCATTAATATTTGCGGGAAATCATATAAGCATCAATATAACACTACTGTAATGTTTCAATAAAACATTATATCTAGAGTTCAAAAGTCACTACTCCCCACTAAACATTATGAAGAAATCATTTCAATAAAGGTTATTGACGTTGAAATTTTTTACTGATAGGGATTTATTAGGGGCAGAATCAAATGACCCATCGGTGTAGTTTATCAATTTACTCGGGAAAATTAATGAAGAATTGAAATGAAATGTAGGGAAGACTTCCTTAGAAACATATTCATGAGAAATCATCATCCTGTCCAATGGGGAACGAGAATGTGCATATTATTCCAATTTGTACACTTGTCGTCAAGCAAGAGGCCAAAAGAAAATGATAAACACATTTGAAATGTGTTAACTTGCTCAAACTTTTATGCTGTAAAAGCTTCCCTCAAAACAGAAAATCGTTCCTAGTAAAAAAAAAAAAGGGTACATCACTGTCATATTCGACTATGTAACTGATACTCTTCATCAATACCGCATAAAAATACTCACGGGACAATATAACACGGGTGAAAAAGAATAACTCCTAATCATACCCTTCCGGAAGAAGGCGTAAAATAGTATGAAATGATTGGATACGTCCGACATACACGTCATCTTTTTTATGGAATTATTTCACTGTACGAATTTACTGTGAGGGTTAGTTTCAGCATTTGATTGTATGGTACAGAAAACCCATTTAATAATTAGGTGAAGTGGTCACAAACTCACGATAAAGTGCGAAAAAAGGAGTTTGAAATGGAAAGATGGGAGTACTTGGTACTAGGCAGGCTGTCTGTACAAAGCAGTGTTTGGTGTACAATGAACACAACCTAACAAATTATACTTTTTGGTTTTAGTCCTTTGTTACCTCAAGGATAGATTCTACCCTCTCAACCAGGGGAAAATTAGAAATGGAACCCTGGTGGTCCTCACATATTCTCTTCTTCACACTTTCCTTTTCACTTACTCCATCTACCAATTTCCTCCATCCTCTGGTCTAAATCTCAAAGGCAATCATGGAAACAAGCAGACCAGATGGGAAAAGGAGGATGAAGGAAGTTGGGAAAGTGGAGGAAGGAGAAGAAGAGTTGGCTGCTGAGGATACTACTACTATTGGTGAAGACAGCAAGAGGAGAAGAGCTGCATTCACTGTCCCTCAGAAAAAAGTTAGCGGTGTTGCCGCCGGAGGACCAATCATCCAGCCTTCATGTCAAGTGGAGGACTGCCGAGCTGATTTGAAGGATGCCAAGCCGTACCACCGTCGGCACAAGGTCTGTGAGCATCACTCCAAGGCCCCACTTGTACTCATTGCCGGAATCCGGCAACGTTTCTGTCAGCAATGCAGCAGGTTTGAGTCAAAGTTCATTTCTTCTAAGTAATCCTAGTTTACAATTTCATGTCATGTGCCTTTGATTATCCTCCCTCCCCCAAACAAAGGGTCTAACAAAATAGACTTTTCCGACACAGTATTTTGTTACACTGCTACGCCTAGAATGATACTCATGCACAGTCGTCAGCGTTTGCTTCATGTAAAAAAGAAACAGAGCACACAACCTGGGGCTTCTGCATTCTCTGACTCACTAAAGGGACCCAATACGTATACAAAAATTGGGACAGAGATATTCCATTAAAAGCTGAAGGCAGTTTATGTTTTTTTAAGCTAGGCATCCTGCAATGAGTTCTTTCAAAGTTCAGTTTCAACAGTGATCTGTGTGACTTGCTTCAGGTTTCATGATATTTCCGAGTTTGATGACACTAAAAGGAGTTGTCGCCGACGTCTGGCAGGTCACAATGAACGCCGGCGCAAGAGCTCTTACGACTCTAATGGAGATGGGTGAACTCAAAAGGAGGTTATTCAACTTAAAGCAGACTACTAGATAGAACTACTTCAAGAATTATAAGAAAAAGAAACAGCCTGCTCTTAGAGGGTGCTCTCTCTCTTCTGTCAATCATTGAACTGTTCTCTATGAACTAATTTCACTGTTATCCATTTTGCAAATATGTAGAAGTACCATTTTCACCCCTTTTATATGTTGTCATATTATGCATCTGTTTTTCATAGGTAGACATAATCAGCTAAATCAAGTTACAATTCAGAGAGATGCCACTAACATACACGATATGGATAATAATCATACATCCCAAAAAAACAGGCAGAAAAGACCCATCTGAAACCTTTATACCATGCAAAATCTAGAAAGGTTATAGTGCAAGCTTCTAAATCCTGCAAAAGAAACATAGCAAATTGTAGAGCAACTTGTTTCCTATCCGCGAGACTAAGAAGCCTAAGATCCTTCCAGCCCTAAGTATATAAATACCAAGAATTTTCTGAAATTCGGAATTAAAGTGGAGAAATGAACTCATTCTACCACAATAAACAGTCGATTAACAATGTCAGATTTACAGTGATTAGGCAAAAAAAGACAGTAAACAGACGGCATTGAATGTGATAAAATTGCATATTTTTCATACCATCTCCAAGCAGTCCAGGAAATGAACACACAATAGTTCTTAGCTAAATGACCAGATTAATCCTCCTTGGATAAACATAATGCAAATATGCAACTGGATTCACATCAAGAAAAACGTTTTGGAGCCCAGCAACTCCTTTCAACCAGTGATGAGATATTTCCTAATGTAAGTAAGCTACCGTGTTCAAAAAGTGAAGGCAAATTAATAAAAATTTCAATATACCAGCAAAGGTCCCTTTGTTCTTTTTCTATGGAGTAAAATGAATATATGGTAGTACAACATATCCATTAAATGGAAATCAATGATCAGCAACTTCAAAGGCACAACAATGCCAAAATGCTATAGTAACTCATATGGGGACATCAATTTAATGACGAAAAATAAGATACGGAACTCTTACTGTCTTCTCTTAAGCACACAGCCAGAGGACAAGAGATACTGTCAGGTCTCAGGTAGGTCAGTCCGCACAAAATTCACATTGTCAGTGGTAGGGAGGTAAATGACTAGAAGAGAACAAATTGGAAGTCTAAATTGGATAAAGTCTCTTTTCATCAGCTGCAATGGTTATCCTTCTTTCCATCTCATATCCAGCATTTGGCACATTTTCATAGAGTCCGTGGCATTGGTAACAAGCCCTGTTAAAATATGGAGTTCTTGAGAGCCAGAAGAGCATACGAATACAACAGCTTCATAAACAGTTAAAACTTGCGAAGTCAACATCCTACCAGTTTCAGTCACGTCTTATTCCCAACATTTTGACAGCAAACTCCCATGACACAATCGCAGCTGCATTTGCAGGAAATGCCCTTATTACAGTTGGACCGAGTCCTGCATAACACCCTCTGAGGCCTGAGCTCCTGTAGATCTACCAAGGAAACCAATTATGCGTTCTCACTGGCTGAGTAAAACTATCACTGAACAGAAACACAATGGAAACAAATACAAAGAGTGGACTATGTGAAGATGAATATTAATAAACTTCTAACAATTCTAAATAGTTGGAAATTTAAGGGGTAGGGAAGCATACTGATGTTAAAATCTGGAATGGGTTCCTAGTAGAGTTTCTATCTTGGGTAGTTTGTATTATTGTCTTGGCAACATCCAAAGGCAAGACAACACACCAACACTGTACCACATAGTGAGGAGAGAGGAAATTCAAATCAGGATAGGCAGAAACTAAAATAAGGGTTTGAAGAAACCAGAAAAAATCAGGCAAATATAATCAGCAGTGATCACAAATAACTTGAACTAAAAATTACCGCTATACCACCAAGACCACCACTCAGTATCCCAATCCCAACATCGGTCAAGTGAGTACGACTAATTGAAGCATCTTTCAGTCGTAAATGCATGTGGTGGCGCACGTGCTCGTAGACCAAAAAGAATGTTGCATTACCCAATGACTCTCTCATCAGCGTGGCACTGCCTCCCCGAAATATGCCTGTAAGCTGGAGAAATTTCTGTCAGAATTAAGCAGGAGAACTACCTTGATTATACACTGAAGAAGTGTTCTCTTACCCCTTCAGCCTTCACTGTTTTAAGGGCGCAGTCGAGAGGACCACTGTATCTACTGGGACATGCAACCAAGGAATCAGTGCCTTGAACTTGCATCCTACACTGGAAAATAACTATGTCAGAAAAAAAACAGGAGAAAGATATATGCAGCCGGAGAACAACAATCATATTTACTTGCCTTCACAAGTTCCGTTGGACATAATATAAAGCTAATTACAGCTCCACCAAAAGCTGCGGAAGGTATTATTGCATAAGGCTGTGGCTTGCCACTTTGCTCTCCACCCTTTCCAAACACAAACACAAAACTGAAAGTTTCACTACAACATAAAAAGGATTGAGAGCTAGCTGCAGCTAATGCGCCTCTCTAAGAATCTTCACTAGATGCAAGAAAATACACTCATTCATGTAACAAACCTGAAGAAACTGTTTTGTTTGCGAGTAAATGCCAAAAACAAGTGAACTCTCAAAAGCCATCCCCAGAAAAGAAGATGTTGCACCTCGATACAGTCCTTGGACCTACCAAGAAAAGATTAGAGCAGAAAACAATGCTAGAAACCAGACATTTTCAAATAAAATGAAACTCTACTAACAAGCTAACAGGATGAACTTTTAAAGTACAAGATCATTTTTCTGGAAATTGATATCTTCACCAATTAAGACCCAACATATTCATTCACTCAAATCTGGGCCCTAATCTCTCGTCTATTTACCTGTTAAACTGCAGGTTTTCTGCTAATTAAAAATCCACTAATAGAGAACTTATGTAAACAAACATTGTGATGATCTACTTTGGTGAAATTGGGTTAATTAGAATTTTCTGCATAGTCTAACTAAGAATAGCAACCAGCAACGTAAGGAAAGATGATGTCAAGACACAAATCTGCTGGCTCCAATTTCTAGGTCCCAATAGTTCATGGAAACTTTTAAGTCAAAAGACAGAATATCAGAACCTAAGCAACGCTATCCGTCTCCTTGGAACACAAAGAAATAGGAAGGTAGTTTGGTAAAGAAGTTGAAAAGCGGCATACTCCTTCAGTCTTCAGAACTCTAGCAGCACAGTGCAAGCCATTCTTGTACTTCAATCCACTAGCTTCTGTATTGTGCTTTTGGAGCTTCACCTGATAAATATATTATATCATGCTTAAGAAAACACACACAAAAAAAAATGAAATAAAAATAAAAGAAATAGCATCTAAAGACATCGATTATTCAACTTTCATAGGTATGCATAAGCATTTAACACCTAGAATCCCCCTTTTTCCATAAAATTTGAGGGTAATTCATTCAGTGTCATCTCAGCTTCACCACGAAGACCATTCAATCAAAAACAATCTAAGACATACTAGAAGGTTGACTCCTGATGAGTTAGATTCTGAAAGTAAGAATTTCTTAAATGAAAACTTAGGTTCCTATGTCAACAACAGCAATAATGGTACATGACAATCAAAAACAAGTAAACCAGCGCGAATAAAATAGTATGAAAAATTATAAACGCATAATACTAAAAGTCATAAGCTTTCACTTCTTGACGATTTTTTTGCCATGTTCATGGTGCTATAACGTAGAACTATTAGCTTTCTCATCAATATCAAACTCTGTCCAAGCACTCAAGCACATCAATATCCACAACTCTTTGTAAGTACACCAGCAATTTGGCTATGAAGATAATAAATTAAAAACTGAAAACATATCATCACCGCATTGTGTTCCTAAGCTATTTCATCTCTCCTCCAATTTAGTTCTTTGGAGTACAGCACAATACCACTATCTGATGACATCGTTAAGAAAAAGAAAGGAAGAAAGAAAATAAAAAAAGGTCGCAAATGAAAGCATGTAAAGAATATATACTTGGCATAATCTGGATTTGTTGGTATTCTTGGAAATGCATTATAAATGTCTAATTACATTACAAGTTCCTCCAGATTTCTAAGAAATCACTTTTTTAATGTAGTCTAAATTCAAAACTTCTCTAGTATTTGATTCACACCCTTCCACGAGATAGGAACTTTACATTCAGCAGGCTAAGGCAAAAGAGGAAACGAAAAAATCAGGCCAAGGTCTCGAACCCAAAATCCATGCCATCCATGGTCTTATTATTTTCGTGAACAGAAAAATGTACAGTAATTGCATTCATGTGCAAAATAGTAAACAGCATTAAGTATAAAGCACTACATGACAATGATTTTCAGCAATAGAAATTGCAAACTATACAAGAAACCAACTAGATTTAATGAAAGCGGCAAGCACCATACCTTGACAGTATCAAAAGGGTGACCAACAACAACAGTGGCAACTCCAGCTAATACACCTGCTATGTAATCTTTATAGCCCGAACTCTCTCCCATCTCCCTAACCCCTTTCTGCTATCAATGGTGAATACAAGATCGGAATTTCGGAGTTTTAAACTAAATAACTGTAATGAATTGAGTGCTGAAATTATCGCTGGGTACTTCCAATTGGTTAAAGTATCATAAAATTCTTCCAACTACAGTGATTGCTACGTATGCAGCATCATAATAATGATGATGATGGGTAAACCCTCCACTGTTTGGGGCTGGTTGATTAGCTTCGAGCTTTTACTGAACTTTTGCGGCGGCGTCGGCGGCGAATCCGGGCCCTCCCTACTCCCTAGTGTTTGTTTAAAATGCTTCTGGGATCCGCCGCGTAAATATACTCTTCGGAGTAGAGTAGGAAAAAAGGCTTCTATTTCCTCGCTAATCAATTCTTGCGTTTTTCCTGTTGGTTCCCTTTTGTAGTTTTGTGTGTGTTTACATTTGAATTCTTGGTTGCCGGTGAATTCTTATTTACATTTGATAAAGTAAGTAGCAACCCACTTTGATAAAACTAGACCCCAATGTGAGTTCTTTTATTTTTCAACAACATTACTCCATTCGTCCCAAATAATCATTTTTCGAACTCAAACAGCACAATAAATTTGATTATTTTTTTGAGATTAGTATATTTTTTGAAGTAAATAAAAACCTCTAGTTAGTCAAGTCATGGATCCAAATGAGCAGACATTACTTCCCCCAAAAAAAAAAAAACGCAGCCCTATTTCCATCTCAGTGCCTTGAGAAAGGATACATGTAGAAAATGGACGTATATTGCTTTAGATTCCCTGCACTAGTAATGTACAATCATCATAGGTTACAACATTTTCCTGGTAGAACTACAAAACCATTGGCTTCACTAGGCTTTTCAATGTTTAACAACGAAGAATCAGAAGCAGTTGGCATGCTGCCTGATGGCTAAATTTAAACCTCTACCTGCGGATCAGTTCTCGCTAGCATATGACTCACACGGACTACAATGTCATAGCTTGCTAGGCAAACTCTTTCCAGGTTGATCTTTCAGCAAGTTGTTCCGGTCAGCCAAAAATTTAGCAAAACGAGACCCTTTTGTATCTTTCTCATTTTCTAGTTGAAACTCTGGTAGCTTTGGTAAGGATGGCCCTGGCTTGGGAGATAATGGTGGCATTAGTGCCCATATTGCAGAAAGATCTTTATTTGGTCTATCAAGATCTTGCAAGATAGTTAAGTCCTGCATGTCTGTTTTTAAATAGGAAATTTAAGTGACTGAACAAATTCATAAGGCAGGAATGAAATCTTCACCAACTATGTACATTTTGAAACCCAAATTACCCTTGGAGAACTTGAAGATAGGCTTCAGAGGTGAGCATGGGATGCTGAAATTCAAATGTGGAATTACAGAACCACCACCGTGTCTAGCATTGCTGAAAAACAAGTGAGTTAAGTTACTGAGTCCTTCCATAATGATGGGAACATCACAAAGAATGACAAAATGGCCACCAAGATAATCAAGGTCAACCAGACACTTTTCACAATGAGAAACCCAGGCATACACGTGCTAAAGCAGACTTTTAGAGATAGCAACTAATGCAGCCAGGGAAACAAGAGCAGGCTCCATTCAAATAACTACAACCACCCCCCTTAAGACAAAATTTACCATTCAATCTTGATAAGAAACTGCAAAATTAACCATTTCAGTAAGAAGCACCGACAAGATCAGTTGATTACTAACAGCAATTTCATGTATTCTTCAGATGTACCAAGTCTCTACTCAATTACGACTATAGCAATTGAACGAATCCGAAAAACAGGAGGCCTGTAGCCTTTTCTGAGTTTCTCCCCATTTAGTGGTGAGCAAGTATATAAAAGTAGAGACTAGCCCAAGCATACCCCTAATTAGATATGAGAGCTGATGCTTTTTTCTCTTTCAGTCTTGGACTGAGATAATGTGTCCATTCTTGGCTCTGGGCTAATGATTAATACACGGATCGCCAGAATTTAAGAGCACTTCAACCTTTGTATAATCAAAAGAAGGGGCTATTTAATCAACAAATGAGCCCTTTCATGTTTCGAGGGGAATGTGTTTATCTTTTCAATATTGCTTTATAAATTCAAAGCTAGGAACCGAGATGTCAAATGAACCCTCCTTTTATCTGACCAGAACCATCTTACACATAATTAAATGGTGACGGGGACACACCCTTCTTTTAAATAGCTTGCATAGTTTCAATTCTACAGAAATGCCTCAACTAAAAAACTAAGAAGAGGTTGAGTATGTTGTTTTCCCTGCTTTTGGTGTGCAGAGAAAAGGAGGTATTTCTATAGCTTCAACTTTTTACTTGAAAACTGGAAAATTTTAGAATTCAAAATGAAGCTTATAATTTAGAAAGAGAAAGAATTTTTGTACGAATACGACCTTCTACTGAACAGGATCATGTTTTCGGGGCTGGAACATAATCGACCCTTCTATCAGATTCACCAGATATACAGCTATGGCAACACGAGATTAGCAAAAATTACAATTTTTCAGGTAGCAACTAAACTGCACACAAATTCATTACCCAACTAAACACAGTACATTCAATACATCACAAAAACAAAACCAAAGAAAAGAAAGAGACGGTACATTCATCAACCATCATATAGTAGAAACAGATAAAACAAAGCAAAAGAGCATCCTCCAAATAAAAAAGCAACGAGACAGCAAAGGGCAACGTCTTCCATCTATTGTCAAATGAATAGTCTACTTCCGTATGAGCTACATGGTAAAATAATAACAGCAACTGAGAGCATTTCCAAATGTTCAATGCTTAATCACCATCAAGCACATTGATCAAGGAAGTTCATCATATCTAAGAAATTCAATCACCTGGTAACAAGGCCAATCATATGACCATCTGAATTCAAAATAGCACCACCGCTACCACCAGGATGCACAGCAGCTGTTGTTTCCAGCATCACTGGAAACGGTCCTTCCATATTCTGATGTAGATCATCTTTGCTTGCCTCAACAACTTTCGATACGACTCCTCGACAAACAGATGGAAGAAAATCTGATCCAAATGTGAAATTTGCAAGCTAAGCACACTAGTTGCCTCAAAAATGCACAAAACCAGACATTACAACACAAACAACTAAGCCTTTGAGAACTCAAAGTTGATCCTTAATGCAGACCCTAGTTTTTAATAATTCTCCAGTATCCTAACAGGAGTCCTACACACATTGTTTATACACGTCTGTAATAGCTCCCATATAAGTTACATTTACTTCTTACTTTTCCAACACTGACCAGAGGAAATCTCGATTAAGCATAAGGTTTACTGATTTTACTCCTCTTATTCTTCAATACTTTTTCTTTGATATACCTCCTAAGAACGCACATAACTTCCATTGTGGCTGCTAGACAAGGGAAGTATTATCACTGAGATTAAGCATGTTAGGTATGCCACAGTACTTGACAAAACTCATTGAAAAAATTCTTTAACACATCACGTCACACATATCAGCCAACTTGTACAAACTAGAAAAAGTGAAGACAATTTTTCAGAAGTTAAACTTTTAACATCATCCAGAGAGGTTTCACAAGACAACCAAGAGATTAAATGTTGAATTAGGACCATCCATCTGAAGAAAAAGGAGAGCAGTAAAGAATGTTAACAAAACATACCACATCGAGGTCCAAACAAACCATGTCCAACAACATATACTTTTGATCCAGGAGAAGGGCAGGTGAATTGAGCACTAATTGGTTGAGGTTGATCAGGAATGAAGTCAAGCTGGAGCAGAGCAACATCGAGAGGACCTTTGGAAACATAAACTAACTTAGCATCAACCCATAGCCAAGGTACCATAAAGTCCAATCGAACACGTATTCTATTTCCACTTGCCACTTCTATTAAATTTGATCTAGATCCTTCATACTTAGCACTCTGAAGAGAGGATTCCACTCTCTTCAGTTCTTCAGGTAGAAAACCTTGCGCTTGTGTAAGGCCACAGTGTTCATTGAGTTGCTTTGAAGCGTAGGAAACCACTTTCGATTTTTCCGTATTTACTTCACCAGCAGAAGCTGCTTTACTAAACCTCCATGGCTCCACAAGGTGAGCATTTGTAAGAACCAAACCTTGCTTGTTGAGCAAAACACCAGAAGCCCATGCTCCATCATCAACAGTAATTAGGCAAACAGAACGAACAGCCTTTTCAACTAGAGTTGGCAAATAGGCACCAGACTGCAGGGAGTCATTAATGTGCTTCAATGATCTAGTCAAGTGAAGGCGTTCAGTAGGTGTTCTTCCTACATCATTCAAGTTTCCATGGTCACAAAGGTACCCTTTTGATGCAAGTTGATGCTCCTCCTGCAGCAAGTCACTGCAAGCAAAAGCAATGGCTTCCCAAGGAATCACCAGCTGTCATCCAAAGTTACCACTTTGTATAGCAATTGAAAGGGAAATAGGAACTGAAAAGAACACACACTAAGGAACAAAAGTTCCCTGATCCAATAAATGAGAAATCTTTCAAAATCCTAATTCATCACTGTGTCATTTAAGGGGGGAAAAATATAATCTTTCTACCAGAATCTACATTTACCAGCATGACAACATAAAGCGATCAAGAACTAAGAAAGGCCCACTAGAGTGACACACCATTTTGGCTCTTGGAGTATACGTCCATGTTGTATGACAGATAATCAATGACGAAACATGTCCTCATGAAAGGAAAGAACAGCCAGACACTTCTTTGATACAAATCCAGGCATTGAAATGATGAGGTTACATATGCTAGATGGACAAAGTACTAAGAAAACGTTCAACCATCTCAAACAATGAATAAGGGCAGACAGGATACATTTTATCATGGAAAATGTGAGAAAAAAAAAATAGGGGGGAAAAAACGGACTTCCCAGTTACCTGAATTTCAGCACCACTAGTCCTTTGCCTCAGCGGTCTTGTCAAAACACCAATAAGCTGGGACTGTTCTCCAAAAACTGGGCAGCCTTCCATTCCTATTACACAGGACTTTCAAATCAGGACCCTATCATCAGAAGAACCACGAGAGTTTTTTGATATTTTCTGATACCTGGAAGACACCTAATATCAGCCATTAAAAGCGACATACTGGAGGATGCAGGTGGATGGCTGTTTGAGACAGATCCCACTGATATGCTAGTTCAAGTAGCCAAAAGATGGAAGAAACAAAAATGAAAATTATTACTAAAGAGCTACAGTGTAAATATCACCATTGACATAGGAAAAACTCGCTACTTATCAGAGAGAAAGATACATAGGAAACATTGATAGTACCAATTAAAGAAGTGCACAGGAGACAAAATGCCAAAAGGAGAACCCACTGCCAGAAGAAGATCTCCTTTCCTACAGCCAATACCAGTGTCAAATTTAGGCCGTACCTGTAACCAATTAAACATAATAACTCAGGGGTTTCTGGGACAGAACTCAAGACATAAGTCGAAGGACACGCTATTATATTTTCAAGGAATTTGTCTTGGAATGCATAAGTAAGTAAATTGGTAAAAACATTTAATTTCACGCTTCATTCAATCCCAGCCCACCAAGTAAGCCTACTTCAGAGGCAAATGCAACAGTAACTCTGTCGTGTGCGGTATTCCACCGCTATCAGTTTCAAAGCTAAAAGGAATGCTAAGCAAAGCAACATTATCTTTCTACATGGGATGAAATCCAGCATTTGAGGAATTGTTGGCAGTACCTTCCAAAGTTTTTTGGAAACACGAAGAACTGCCATCCGGGTTGTCATTGTGGCCAATATATCTGGATTGCCCAATTCTAATCCCCTTGTTTGCCCATGCCTCTGGAACGGATATTGATCAACCTGAAATGATCATTTCAGAGTTCCTGTTACATAGTACATAACTTATCATGTCAAATATTAGTCGCAGAGAAGCAAATACTACAGATTCAACCATAAAGGGTTTTGAGCCAGCCGCCACAAATTTAACAGACTTTTGAGGAGTGGAAAAAGTATCAAGAATATTTATCTGAATTTCACAACAGTTGTTCGGCGAAAATAAGAATGTTGAGATGCATGTGGTCACACACTAGATTAGATAGGATTCGGAATAAATATACCAGAAAAGAAGTGGGATGGCCCTAATAGATGAATAAATTGGGACAAACACCATTATAATGGTCTGACATTGTGTGTAAAAAAAGCTGTTAAAGCCCCAGTAAGACATCTAGAAAATGGAGAAAATACTAACTTAAATAAAAGGGAAAGGGAAAGCCCTAAAAGAATTGGAAAAAAATTATATTTTGAAGGAGTGATTTTTTAAATAGTTGAGAATGCAGGTTTGGCTGAACGATATCAGTAGATCCATACTGAAAAAAAAAGGAACAAAAGCTACTTGATGATAACGAGTTTACTAAAATATCATCTACATGAAGTAGGATGAGCAGTTAATCACCACTAAATTAAACTGCAACTCACACGGGCCTAGAACCCATTATCTTCTTTCCATGGGACAAAACAATACAGCTACTGTTAGGCAACCAGGTGGTCTTGCTGTATGGTAACTCAGGGCTGTAAGCTCAAATTTAATTCTGCAAGCTAATCTTCCACTAAAAGGTAATTTTGTGATTATGTAATGATAATGTGAGGAAACTTTATAAGAATTTGAACCTCAAATATGAAAGTCAGAAAACAAATGTAAGTAGCCTACTTCAACTCGAACAAACAAATTGTGTCAATCAATATTAATATGTTCAAACATAGACTATTTTTATACAACCCGTTGACGTATATATTCACACGAAACTTCAATTATTTGATTTCTCTGTCTGCAAAAAGGAGAAATGTCGATAACAAAATCTATTCACCTGTGCCTGAGAGTTGCCAACAATAGATTGAGCACCACTGGCATAGGAAGCTAGCGACCAGCCAACTTCCCATCCATACTCCAATGAGCCAGATGAACCCTCAAGTAGAGATTGCATGGCAGTGGCAGAGAGAGGGATGTTAACCTTCACGAGAAACATGCTAAAGGTCAAAAGCCTTTCATCTACTGTAAAAAAAAAATATTGAAACCAGTTCAAAAAACAGTAAAATTCACTTCGTGCTAAAGCATAATAAACAGCCAAGAGGCTTCAAATTTCAGTCACACACGGTAACATATAAGCATTTGCATCAATGGGAAAACATTTAAGAGGCACCTCAATTCTATTTAAAAAGAACTAAAAAAACAAAAATCAAATTAAAAGAAAACACAAAATAACCAACTTTCAGTTGCACACAAGAAAAATCTTTACCATCACTAACAGTTCAGCAGGCAGCCAACGAGAAGTTACTCTCTTATCAGTGAAAAGTTCACCATCTCTCTCCTGTTTGCCCTGTTTGTCAAAGTGTATTGGAAGGTTTACCATTTACACAAATGACAAAGATCATATAACAAAATACCAACAGCCTCGGGTCCTGAGAAAGACTCCTACCTCCACCATTATATCAATCTGAACACCATGTACCAGCTGGGGTTTATCCTGCTTGACATTGTAAGAGATTACAATACAAGTACGGACAACCAAAAATGCAACTAGAAAGTTCTCAATGCACAACCAAAAATGCAACTAGAAAGTTCTCAAAACTACATCGATGTGCACAAGAAACCTCGAACCTTAGAAAGGTTTGCCCTATGTTGCTGGCTAAGAAATGGATCAATAAGAGATGCAACCGTCAAGACCAAAACAGAGTCTTCAGAAGACTGGGCATCCTTATCATCACCACCTTCCATGGCTTCTGAGGGACAGTAAGAAAATCCTGGCAGAAGCATTCCAGAAGCTGACAATGTTGTTTTCCCAGAACTACAGAACAAAAACAATTGGGTTAAATCGAAAAGATCAATATTATGCTATTATACTACCACCAATTACAGTTATTACACATTGCACAGAACTTACAAAAACCAGAATTTATAACTTACTTATAGTGGTGAAATGCATGTTTCCTCATCTTAAGGCCCTTTGGGTCCTGGTATCAAACACCAACAGAAAGGGTAAAAAACATAGAAAGACTTAAAATCCAGCTGAACTAAGAAGAAAGCAACTAAAAATTAAGATGCTAATAAGGTTTGAGCAAACCCCGAATTGGAATAATTGATCACATGTAGAGACAAAAGCAGCAAAATAACTTCACAAAGAAACTTGGAGGGGGGAAAAAAACTCACGGGGCCCTGAATTCGGACCATGACGGCGAAATTACGAGCAGCATCGGCAACTTCAGGAATACCCATGTAGCAGAAGCTCAGACGCTAGCTCCAGTTGAACACAATTTAATGATTCTGCAACTATAAATTTTACTATCCTATCAGCTAAAAAGGCCGTTCGGTCGATTGTGAAAAAGGGTAAAGAACTAAAAATCAAAAAAAAAAAAAAAAAAGATTGAAGATTCTGCTGTTCTTGTGAAGCGTGTTGGACCAGATATAATGATTAATGAATACATAATTTATTTACTGTATCTTCTGGTCTACCTGCAAGGAAAATTCGCAGTAGTTTTTGGGATTGTGGAATGCGCATGTTTCCTACAGTTGATGTCATTAAGACATTAACCGCCTTTCCCATCTATTCTTTTTCCTCCTATTTTATTTTTCTGATTTTTTTCAGAATTTATTGTATTTATTAGTATGATTTATTCATTTTTAGTTGTTGACTAGACCATGGTCAAATATAAAAAGTGAGGATTGTTCACAAATTTCTGTGACAATAATGAAGTTATATGTAAGAAACTAAGAAGTGATAATGAACATTTTTTCAAAATCTTTTATTAATAACTGTCTTATCTTACCATACTTTTTCACATATTTAATATATCATTTTTTATATTTTTAATAGAAAAAAGTACTTAAAAACAAACACAATATCATTAATTTTTCTTTTTCTTTTGCTGGAGATCTCTTTCTTTGAAATTGTATGATATTGGAGGAAGATAGGAGGAACATATAGTACAATTTAGCAGTTCGCCCATTTTCCCCGTAGAGCTGTAGTTCCTTTTACTTGGTACGATGTAGTAGTATCATGTCGCGCATTTGTATTATTCTTTCACTACACAAAATAAGATGTACAAATAGAGTGTTCCCTTCGGTCCTTAATATCAAGCATTTTGATTTGTCCAAAATTTTATCTAGTGCGCTTGATACTACTATGTTTGAGATTTTTTCGTCAATTTAAAATAAGTACTAGGTGAAACTTATAATAAAATCAAAATGTCTTATATTAAAGATGAGAGGAAGTATTATTTTATATTTTTTGATTCCTTATTAAGGGACATTGTATTTGTGGATGACCAGCAAACGATGAAACGCTTCATTATTACAATGTGATATAGCACGGTAATTTTAACTTCTATTAGCAGTTTTTATTCGTAAAATATTGTTTTGAATGACGAATTCGCTACACTTTAAAAAAAAATTAATAATTTTTGAAATTACAGTCCATTAAACCAATATAAATTGAGTAACAAGCTATAGGACATGAACTATTCCATATCATCAACAGTAGCGGCTTAAGGTATCAGGGGTCCAAAGCGAGTTTCGAAATTTAGACCTTTTGAAGATAAAAAATAATTAAAAAAAGAAAAAAATTAACCTTTCTCGTGATTCATATTTTGGATCGTCAATTACTAATCTGAAAGTTTATTATAAGCGAAATTAAGATTTTATAATTTTGAGAATTTTTTTAACTCCCCCTACTGTTTATAATAATTTTAGAGTTAAAATTCAAATAAATAATTTTTTTTTGTGACAAATTTTTCTTAAAAATATATATACATATATATGATATTAAAAATACTAAAAATTAGGGGCCCCTACTAATTGGGGGCCTAAAGCGGCGGCTTCACCTGCTGATCATCAATCAACGTGATAAACTAGTGTTGTGATAACACAGATGTTTTTATATGATATTTTTACATAAACAAAAATAAACGAATCCTTTATCACTTCAATACAAATTTTCTTAGCTATGGTTATTGAACCTTGAAGGTGTTCATTCTTCCAATGCTATCTGAAGAAGATAGGTGAATATGCTTGGTTCCTCTAAATAAACTCTACCGATAAGGTGATGATCATTTTAGTCTCTATTCTGATTATCAATAATTATTATAGAATACGGACTTTTATAGTAAGGTATCCATTTCAACACTTTCACCGCAATTCAACGTATGTTTTGCACAGTTTGTTGTATCAGTAAATTGTAAGTTAAGAAGATGTATTTTCTTGCTCAACGAATAGCTTAAACATATATAACATTTATACCATTTTTCAAAGACAAGAAGAAGAAAAAAGGAGAACCACGTCGGCAGTAGATACCAGAGTCTCGATTGCGAAAAAATGTTACCAATACATTGTAGTAGTAATACTACTAGTAGTATTTTGTTAGGACAAATTAGTATTGATTTTTGTATATCTCTTACCGGATGGATAAAATCAAAGTTTACAAGACCCTTTCCCAGTCTTACTGATCTTAGCAGCAATACTACCAGTCCACTGTAGTCTGTATAATTTAATAGGATTTTAATTAGTGTATTTAAGTACTGTATTTTTTTTTATATATATAAATGTATAACACACACTCACAGAGTAGTGAGCGGAAAGAGCCACATCGAATCACCTCTTTGTTCCTCTCTCTCTCTCTTTCCCCGCCAGGTACGCCACCACCACCAGCGGCGGCGAGCTCCGCCGCGCTTTGACTGCACAATGCCTGCGCAAAAGCGTTCACCAGACGCCTCACCTACCTCATCACCACCTCCGTCTTCCCCGTCTGAGCAGCCGCCGGAGGAAAAAGACGATGATTCGCTCCAACGTAGCCAGGACCTCAACGGCGAACAAGCTGATGACGACGGCGAAGGTACGTTACGCTTATGTATTCCCGCGCTTATCTCTTCGGATTCAGCCTCCCCATACCTAATTTGATAACCTTTTCTTTGAGCGACCGAATTCCCCGACCGTAACTTCAACGGTTCCATCTCGTAATTTCGGATTTTTTTAACTCTGTTTTTTTTTTTCTGTTCTCAGATTCGGATGGAAGTGTTTCCTCTACTGATGAACAAAAGGACGAGTACTTTTCTAAACTCCTCCTTTGTCATATATCCCAAATACATTCATGTTTGTGTGCTTGCATGTGCATGTATATGTTGTGTTCTTCCATTTCGATTGAGTAGTATAATCGTATGATCAGACCATGTAAATGCCACTGAGGTGGGCTAGTTTGAGATCCGTACTTTTCTGTTGGTTGCCGCAGCGCTATATGCTTTTGCATTTCGCCGGAACTCTCAGTCAACTGTTAACCATTTTTGGTCCAATGCGGATTCCGTCGGAGTGAAATGGAGATTGCTTTCCGTGAGTTAATATTTCGTTGCAGAATTGGTGGTTTGTAGTCCTTAGTTGAAAATTTCTGAGATCGAGAAGTTCAAATTTTTGGTCTGCTGGCTTTTATGGAAACTTTGACGGGAAACTATTCGAGATTCTTGTTGAGTTGTCTTCAGAAAAAAAATATGTACTTCGTTCTGTTCTCTCCTCCCCCAACCTAGATTCTTTGGTATTTAAACTTTGGTGGAAAACTTGATTGGTTGGTAGCTAACCGACCAAACCTCTGTAATTTGTTAAGATGCAATCTTCATTATTTTTATACACTCGAAGTTTTCCTTCAAGGATTAGGCGATATCCAGGGCATGAATCTTTGTTCTGGTTAGGATGATTTATAAACTTGCTGTTTCTTAGCTGAGATGTGCCAGAAATTATAGTGATTTATTCAGAGTAATCATTCTCTTCTTTGGCTGGTTGAGTCCATATATAGGGGATTGTCTACATTTTCTTAGACAAGATATGCTTTGACCTGTATTGTTAAAGTGCCAGGACTTCGTTAATGACCTTGTAAAGTTCTATTTTTGGTACAACCTTGTAAAGTTCTTTGGTCAGGTTTGTGAACTTTTGTTTTTTAACTAGACAAAATGTGTGATACTCCAAAGAAATATTGCTGTTGAGTAAATTTTTACGAAAGAGTTAATTGATCTAAGTTTTATAGGCTTTTGGAAAATAGCAGTGGATTTTAGAGCTCTGAGTGGAAATAGGGCAAAAGCGTTAAGAATATTTTGTTGTTTACAAAACTATCACAGTTATGGTGAATAAAAAAAAAAGAAGAAGAAAAGAAAAAGAAGAAGAGCAAGAAGATGAAAATCTTATTGTAGCCAGTGAAATTCCTATATTCTATCCATCTTTTCCCTGTTCTGGTGAACCTTGACGTCATAGTGTGAGGAGCTGACTCCATGGATATTTATATCTACTCTCATATTTGTGTTGAATAAAACCAATTTTTTCTTTAATTGCTTATCTTATCTTCACTTTGCAGATTTGTCTTTGTGAAATTGTCGGAGATCCGAAAAGAAGTTCAGTGTCCAATATGTTTGGGTACGTAAAGTGTTGTAGAAATTTTTTTATAGTTACTTGTGCATGGCACTGGCTAGATAATTACTTAGCTCCCTTTCTCGCTATTTGATGGTTATCATATTTTACTCTCAAAACTTCAGGACTTGACTTTTTTCTTTTAATCTAATATCTCTTTTTTTTTCTCAATGTAATTTGATTTCTTGTTTTGCAATCATAATAGAAAAGATATCTCCTGCATGCTTTTTCACTCATTAGACCAAGATTTGTCTGAAACAAGATATTCATTGAAGTTGCTGTTCTGTGAACAAAAAAAAAGGGGTTACATGTTGATCTAAACTTGTTTGGCTTTTGAGCACTAAGCAACAAAGAAAGAAGTTACTTCTAGATTTTTAAAGGAATCCTGCAATTAATGGTGTATTTGCTTTGTTGGATTACAGTATTTCTGGTGTACAGGCACAGATAAAGATGTTTGAAAATAGAAGCAAACGTTCGTGCTCATCATTTTTGTTTCGTTGTCCCAAGTTTCATTAAACTGTTCTATTGTGGTGTATTTCCCTGGATAGGTATCATTCGGAAAACAAGAACAGTTATGGAATGCCTTCATCGCTTCTGCAGAGAATGCATTGACAAGTCAATGAGACTTGGGTACATTTTCATGCTCCTCATTGATTGGCTGTCCAGTGCCTGTGTCCCTTTCATATTTATCGTTTTGTTAAACTTTGTCACAGGAACAATGAATGCCCTGCTTGTCGCACTCATTGTGCTAGTCGGCGTTCTTTAAGGGATGATCCAAACTATGATGCTCTCATTGCTGCTATATATCCAGATATTGACAAGTATGAGGAGGAGGTAAAATATGATTTTCTTCTGTGTCTTTCTGAAAAGAATAATTAAATTCTTGATCTCTTAGCATTTTGCTTATCTGATATTGTAGCAGGAATTGGCTTTCCATGAAGAGGAAAGGGCCCGTAATAAGCAGGTGAGCTGCACGGGATGTACTCTCTTTGAATGTTTAGTCAGTGTTTCCTTAAATATTTGTCCTCCTTTAGAAGCCTATAATCAGGATATAGAGACTAGGTACATACTTATCAAATTCGTGATCTTGCTGAACTCCTTTGGAGTTGGCCTTTATTTGATTGACACAAATATATATATATATATATATATTCAAAGGATCTGTTTGCACGAAAATTTCAATGAGCTCTAGCTCATAATGACTTAGTGCCGGTTAAACTGTTACTATGAAGCAGTGATCCTCCCAATTAACACATTTTGTGTCAGATAATGTAAAACCTTGACTGCTTTTGTTCTCATGAGCTGCTGATTCATTTCTGGTTGTCTGGTTAGATACAAGATTCAATAGCCCAGACGTTTCGAAGACAAACAGAGGCATTGGGACGTAAAAGATCAGCTAGGGTAACAACGTCAGCATATGCAAGAAGATCTCATGGAAATTACCGAAATGTGAGGTCAAGGAGGAATAATCGAAGTTCTGAACACCAAGGATCTGATGATGAAGATGATGTTAATGGAAATTTTGGTGGAAAGGATTCATCTTCTGCTGACGAGCGTAGTCCGGAAATCAAACCAAGAAGACAGAAGAGGTGGTCAGGAGCTCGTTACTCTCAGTCTTCGGCTGCAGCCAATTCGGATGCAGCCTATGATGAAAATGAGTCAGAAATTAACAGGGAGTTGCTTGGTGCTTCTGCTGGACTCGTTGGGAGTCCAGAAATTTTAGCATGGGGAAAAGGAGGCTTGCGGAGTAGTACTAGATATGGTGTCTCTGCTGGCAGCAGCAAGTTTGCAAGAAGTGGCCGATTATCAAAGCTAATGGATTGCCTTCGATGTTCAGATAGAACGAATGAGGAGGTATGGATCTTCTGCTTTGACTGTCTTGAATTTAAACTTTGAACTAGATTTTCGTTTTTGGAAATCCTTATTTGTCGGAAAATTTCATTCAATCTTGTGTGCCTTGTCTCAACCTTATCACAGCATCATGATCCACCATTCTGTTTGTTTCAGTTGGACATTGAACTCGTTGCTATGGACAATGAGGATATACCCAGTTTGCAGAGACCTTATCTCAGTTGTAAGCCAACGCTGTCAGTCAGGCACTTGTGCCAAGTAAGATACAGTCATGATTTTTAGCTCTCCCTTGGTAGTAAAGGATAGTTTAATCTGCATGGGAAGCTTATATTTTTACGTGATGTCTTTTTTTTTTCTGCAGTATGTTGCTCTCCAAATTTCCATGCAAGCTGATGAACTGGAAATCTGGTGGAAGAAAGAACTTAAAAAAGAGTTTCCGTCAGAGAACAATAGTGAACCCCTGATAGCATCTGTGTTCCTTGATAAGTTTAAAGACGAAAAGATAAGATTAGACGAGCATCAGACGCTAGGTGAAATTCGACGTATTTTCAATTCCAGTCAGTGCAATCTGGTGAGCTCATTGTTTTGGATGGCTTCTTTTTTGTTTCCAATGGGTGACAAAATTCACATGTTCCTCATCATGTGATAAGCTTAAATGAGTATCTCAACGTATGCCTTTGGTTGCAGGTTTTGGCGTATAAAAGAAAGTAGCAGCATCCGCCAGAGACGTGACAACAAGATGAAAACATATACACAGAGTTAGTGGAATCAGAAAAGCAAAGTTCTTGTATCTATTAGAATTTTAGTAGATGTAGTGGCACTTAATGGAAGGATATAGAGGGATAACGTTATGTTGAAGAGTCATTGTAGATAACCTTTTGCTGATGTGTTACAAGCGTCTATGTTCTTGCTTCTCTGATGCTTGTTTTTTTTCCCCTATCTTGTGAAAGAGCATGAAGCAGTGTGCTGTGTTTTTAAGATGCATATATGCAAACTCGCTTGCGGCAATGCGCGCGTCAGTTTTGGAGCTTTTTCCTAGTTACTAGAATCCGGCACGGTATGATCACACACGCAATGACACATCAGTTGATTAAGAACCGATCTTGAAAGGCAATTATTGCTGGCACGATCAATTAGCAGATTGACATTGAGAAGAAAAACTAAAATTACGGATCAATTAGCAACAACAAAAGCACATTCCGGGGAATGCAACTTCCATTCAACAGCTTAGGAATAAAATAAGATACTACAATATCATAACTTCGGATTTTAGTACTGTTCACCTGATCTAACCAAACACAACGCAAGACGACTAACTACCATAGCTTTGGATTTTACTACTCTTCACTGCTTCACTTAACTAACTACCAGTGTTGTTACTCGGGTCGGACCGGTCGGTCGAATAAGTTTAACCGAGAACTGGACCTCAGGCCAAGCCGAGTAAGATATAAAATCGGCTGTTTATGACTCAGTCAAAACTGGTCAAGTTTTCGATTAACCCGAAAATCGGTCAAACCCGGATCGAACCGGGTTTTGCCTATTAGCCTATTTTTTATTTTTTTTCACTACTTTTGAAGATGAACTTTTAACTTTTGGGCTAGAATTATATTCTTTGTGTTATTAATGGTCTATAACTTTTATATTTATGTTATTTAACTCATAATTTCAAATTTTTAAGTCCAAATTTTCAATTTAGCCATTCATTTCACATCTTAAATATCAAATTGAGTACTAACTATTATTTTGAACTGAGGTAAAATATTACAAACTAAATAATTTGAGCAATATTCATCACTTTAAACTAATTTGAAAAAATTATTACCAAATACATGTGATGGGCTCCCTTACCCCACATTTTGACAGATTACGCCACTTCAAATTTTCTCAACCCTGACACAATTAAAGGACTCTAATGGTGCATTGTGTATTTTGTCCTGACATTACACGTCAATTCTACCATTGTTGTGAATGCCTAACATTTCTGCCTAGGAGGTCGTATCAGTAGCATACGCATCTCCCGCCGTAGAGGATCGTGGCACAATTACTTTTTTCTCTTTTTTCTTTTCTACATATATTTCAGATGAAAAGGGAATTAATTATCAAATTGACTGTATGGTGGAAATTCGTGTGGGTAACGTTTGGTGCATGCTAGTTCAACAAAATTACTCTTTGGAAAAGCAATAATTCCTAAAAACAAAAATATATAAATGATATTATAACAAAAAACCACAATTTATTTATAATAATAATGGGAAAAATTCTTATTAAGGGCATTGCAAGTTTAATAATTCTTGAGAAGGGTGTAAAATTTTTAAAATTCCTACTAAGAGTGTAGCAATGATTTAATATAAGAAAATTAATTTTCATGACAATTCTACTCTTACTGTAATTAATTCTTATGAGAGAGGTTTTTGATAGGAAAAAATACTTATTTAATTCTCTTCAACAGTGGAATCGACCAACAATTAGAGTCTGGATTAGATCATTGTCTTATGATATGCAACCTTATTTGATTGATTTGAATTTTCATGCGAAACGACACCCCTAACAACACAAAAAATGGGAACTCAAACTCCAAAGCCAATTGAGTCAAATCACGTATAAGATCAAAATTATAATAGCAATGTTAAATAAACACGAATTGAATGTATTTCAAAGACAAACATTATTCAAACTAAGCTTACACCACTGAAGGAAAAGAAATCAAAAGCAAAAGACTTAAAAAATGCAATTGGCAACCAAACATTAAAAAAAAAAAAAAAAAAAAAAAAAGTTAGAAAGAGCAATATGCTTGACATTGTCATAAATGAATCAGACTTGGTTAAGTGGTTCTTTGCAGGTTGAACGGTTGAGGCCTCCAATTTTACAGCGAGAGCATCGTAAAATTCTCTTGCTAAGGAAGCAATGTACATTCTGAAATTGTAGGTGCTTGATTTTCTATCTTCAAGGCTAGCAATATTCAAATCAGCCGGTAAAGGCATGTCAATAGTAGGAATGCTAGGCATCAGTTTTGCATAAATTTTTCTCTTGAACTTCTTTCCTGTAATAGTCAGAAAGACAATCATAAACACTAGAATTGTGCATCCGAATGGCACAACATGCATGAGGAAATGGGATTCCAGTCATTTGCCATTCCATAGAGGTGCAAGAATGGAGGGCGAAATTCACAACAAGCACTCCTTTACGACACTCATAAACTTCAAATGCATACGGGGGAGGTCGTGATTTTACACTGAAGCCTTGACCTCGAACAATATTTTCCTTTATTCTGTCCTCAATACGCTTGCCAAAACCATTTCTCCAATAATTCATATCATGGACTTTGTTTAACAACAACTCTACATATTTTGCAGCATGAGCTTGCATCAACTCCCAAATAGGGCAATGCCTAGCTTCTTCCATCCAAGCATTGAAACTCTCAGCGATATTGCTATTGAGCCAATCCCAACGTTGTTTTGGAAACAATGCATTGCTCCAACGTTCCGGTTTGTTCTGCAACACCCAATCATGAAGTTGTGGTTGAAAGTTGAGCATTTTATGAATTGCCCTTTCATTATCAAGTTCTGTTTAAGAAGAATTATGACATAAAATTCTGAAACAAGTCAAACACTTTTACATGTCTAAGCAATAAAACTAATTGAAAAACTTGATTAAAAAGCAGTTCATTATCAAGTTACCTCTCGTTGCTAGTGCTTGCTGACAATAAAACATAAAGTTTCTGAATTAGATGGATAGATATGTGCATACTCGTCATTGCAAGCAATTAGTGTCTGCACATAAATTGTTTCTGATCATATTACACAGTGAAGTGAAGAAATTTTCCCACTAGGATTTACTTTTAAACGATCAAACACTGATAGCTTCAATTCTTCAAATTTCATTCCATTAAATGCGTAAATGGAATCGGTAATACCCCTTTTGTAAAGAACGGAGCCATCGGCAGCCAAAAATGTTTCTTTACCCCAATGGCAGTAACGAAGAATTAAGTTTAAAGATATTAGTTGATTGATTATGGTTGTGTTTGTGACAAAAGTGCCATGCGCAGATTCCAAATCAATAACATATATGCTGCAACACGAAGTAAATTGAAAATAATAAAATTTTGTTCTACATAATTAGCCAGGGAACAACACCACATAATTAATTAATGGAGTGTACCATTACTCTTGTTAAATTAATTGTCTATTAAAGCACTTTATGACCGTATTCCGTAGAAATCCCAATACATTAATTGTCTATTAAATTTAATGCTTCACCGTGTCCCATGGAACTAAAACTTTTTTGTGGTTTAATGCTGACGACATATTCACATTACCGCTTAGTATGATAGAAAAGATTCGTTATTGTATTAATATCCTTTATTACTCTCTACATGTTATGATAGATATATCATGCAAAGCACGAATTGAGAATTAGACTGTGTGCTTTACAAATGATGCACAAACAAAATGTTATGTACTCGTTTTCCAAAAAAGTGAATCTCATTGTGAAATTGATCCATTTCAAATTCCAAACTAACACAGTTGTTGAGTGCAACCTCTACACTTGTTCCATCAAATTAAATTTAATCAAACATGAACACAGATGTTGATGGTCGAGCCCTCAACTTAGCATTTGAATGGCAAGATCTTACATGAACGAAATTAGGACCATCTTTTTCCGGTTTCCAATTGGTGCGAGTTGGGATTCATTGACAACTCTTAACCAATGTTTTCAATACACTATCTATCAGTCTCTAATCACCGTGGACTAATTTGAGGAGGAGAAATGGCATTTTGTTTGGGTATTGATCGGCTTGGCTTAGTTGGAGAATCCGTATATATGAATCCATAATACGAAAATGCTAATAACAATAACGGATCATCCACTATTTAGTAGTAGTAAATTTAGTAATTAACACGGTAATCAGACCAAGAAAAAAAACACTCATTCGACAACTTTTATTTTTTTAAACACAAGAAGCTCAACCTTCGACCCTACCAAAAAAAAAAAAAAACACTCCACTAGTAATTTAAAAATTTTGACAGCGGACCATAGTAAAATATGAAAGAGTCAGCTGAGCAAACAGACACAAAAATAAAATACTAGTAAACTACTACTAAGATGATCGATGATGAAAGGTGAAGCGATCATAAAACACCTTCAGACAAACTCCAAACAGCCAGAAAACTTTTTGAGGGGTATATTCACAAATGCAAACGGATACGATCATCTAACGATACTTGCTCTTAGTCTCCCCACTGTACAGCCTGCAATTAAAAGTTAAACCACCACTACCAAATTAATTACTACTATTAACACACATCAAAATAATATATACACATAGTTTTTTTTTTAAAAAAAAATAAAAATGTACTGTATAAGATCAAACTGAATTCACTGTCAATCACAGATCTGGAATCTAGACAAAAACCAAAATCATATTACTCGTAGATCGGGTGGGGTACGTACGTACCAGTCATAGACAGTGGGAGAGTTAGGCTGCGGCTTATCAAACAGGTCCGATCCCATTCCCCTCGTAGCCGAGTTACTCCCTGGGTGGAATACGCTCCTCCACACGTTGTCCTTACGCGCCGCGGCCGCTGTCGGCGACGGAGTCGTCGGCGTCCCAGGCGTCGCCGGAGTTCCCGGCATGGACATGGACCTCTGGTACTTGCTGTTGTTGCTGCTGCTGCTGCTGCTGCTGCCTTCACCAATCCCATCTGATCCATCATCATCATCACCATCCAACATCCAAAACAAATCAATAACTCAAGTTCTCCACTTATGTAAATATATATAATCATCTCCGCATGAGCTTATTTCTTTTCAAAAATAACGTTAACAAAAAATTAATACCAGTCTTGACGCTCAGAGACTGGGTGGCGAGCTTCCGGAGCTTGCCGAGGCCGCTCTGCGGTGTCGGTCCGCCGGCAACGTCATCCCACAGTTTGTCTATCAGAACCATCTTTTTTTTTTCAGTGTGTGTGTGTGTGTGTGTAAAGAGAAAATATCAATCAATAAATAGAAGTGAGGTAGCAAAAATATCTCCGGGTTGGGAGTTACCAGGGGCTTGGAAAAGTCTGGTTTGAGAGGCATTCGATATAGGTGACATTTGTCCTGAATACAGGAGGGGACGTAGTAAAAACGGGAGTGGGGGAATGGGAGAAGGATATGGATAAGGATGAAGACTGGACTATTTTGGGTGGGGGGCCACCTTGACAAATCATCACGTTCAAAGTGTCACTGGACTGACCGTAAGGTGTGGGGTTGCCGTTTATTATTTACGTGTGTCATCATCATCTCCATTGTTTACAAATGTTGTCCTATTCCTTGGCCTCCTCTATCTCTTGGTAAAATAAAAATAAAAAAGGATTGGACGTCCACATAAGTAGAGGTAAATTTGTGGAAAATAATGCGTGAGTAGAAAAAATGTTGTTATGATAGAGAATTCTATCAGATTGTTTATTAGTTTATACCTTATAGATAAGGCTGCTGTCATTTCATTTTTTCACTTTACTGAAATGGCTGAGGAGTGATCACCATTTTCTGTCATTTTTCTTGAGAGATTTCAAGTCAGTACTATAAAAATGTGACTCAATGAACCTCAACCAAAGGGATTAGGTATTATATTTTGAAACAGGAAAATCACCAATTCAAATTCCACCCAATCTTTAAAATAAAAAAATAACAATCCTTTGTTTTCTCCGCCTAGAAAAATAAAGACTATGGTCATTTTGGTGACACAAAAGAAAATGATACACTTCAATTTGACACTGACATAACCAATAACCATGGCTGATTTTCTTCTGAGAGCACCATCCATTTCGTTTTTCAGGAAAGAAATTCAAATGTGGTGACCAGGAATTACTTTCGTTGGCTAAAATGGTAAAAACCCATTCCAATGTTTTGAGGGCCCAATTACTATGAAAATGGGGGTGGGTTGATCCATATTGATGTGATGTATTTAACACTCATCTAACCTTTTTTCCTTTTCTCATTGTTATAGAAAAACAACGGGGCAATAATTGAAGTCGTCCCCGTCAAATGTAGTGATAAGTCCACTCAAATAATTTTGTTCACTACTTTACCATTCGGCACTAATCTGTGATGCCCTCTCAACCAAAGTTGAATTTTGATCTTTTTCACGTATCCTTGATCTACATTATTACATGATTATAATTTATCTAAGTTGGTGGTACCGGGGGGCTCTCTGAGTGAGCATTTGGAAATTCGTCGAAACCAATAATCAGTGTTATAGTCTGAATCATCGGACCAGTTTATTCAATTTTGAAAAGAAGAGCTTCCAGTGAGTGTTCTTATCAACGGAGGTTTCGGATCTTCTTACCACTCCAAAACAATTCAAGAGAATTGGAAGATAACCAGTTTTTTTCCATCTCTACATATTGTCTTTTTGATCAACCACACTCGCAGGGTATTGTCCGGGATGGTGAGTTACGCCTGGAATTGGAAAAGGTCCCTTTCTTAGCTGTTCACATCTCACTAATACTCTACTCCAAGAGTCAATTCCATTCCCTTCTCTTTTTTGTCGTCATTCTTACCTGGAATGGATTCAGGTTTCAGCCAATGGAGGTTTCCGAATCATTTCTGATTATTCCTGCACCAAAAATCACAGACCCAACTGCATAAACTCGTCGGCCGGCTGTAGGTTCTCCATATAAACTGTTCTCACATGATACAAGAAACAAACCGTCTCTTTTGGTTCTTACCCAAGTGAACACCAGTAACACCAAAAACTGTATTTGTAATTCTGCAATTCCAATGACCTGAATTGTCCTGCCTCTGGCCGTCTAGCTTTAGTCTCAGGAAATAACCACCATGCCACTGCTGCCTTTTGTCCCTCGTCGGACATCAAGGTCCTCAATACACTCTCATTCCCACACAACAAACACGTTCTCAAAAATAAATAATGTTCTCCACCCCGTGGACTAATATCAAACCACCTGAAAATATTCATTATTCACAACTTCAATCAAGGGGGAAAAGACAAAAAGTGAAGTTTTCACCAAAATCCTAATAAAGTGCTGAAACCTTCCTGATTATAATACAAACACCCATTCACCTTGTCAAACTACAGCTGTCATGCATACTAAAGTCAGCAAGAAGGCCAAGAAAAAATATCCAACAGCTAAGACAAATCTTCCATGCATATAAGAGCACTGAAGGATACAATGTAATTCATCACAAAATCTTACATAACTCATCCTGCTCATGAAGATGTCCCTTGATGCTGCTGTTGATATTCCCTCAGGAACTTCACTCTCCTTTGCGAGTTTCGTAAGCGAGCATGATAAGCAGTCGATCCCTGGGAAGATGCATTTTCAACCACCTCTTCATGAAGAAAAAGCTTCTCAAGAATTTGAATTCAGTTGTGTTCTTCCAGAAAGATATTACTCAGCCAATAACTCAAATGGCCACCTCCAGCATCAAAGAGAATATCAATACTGTTCAGGACCAGGTCAAAGCAATCACAGAAGATCAGCCATTACAGAATCAAGTCTAGATAGATCCACAGAAAAACTAGGCACTGGTGTTAAAATGGGAACAGAAAAGAGGCACAACCCTAGTGCAGGGTTCGCTCAGAGAATCATCAAGTCATTAGCATGCAAGGATTGCCGTGTCATTGAACCAACCCACTGCGTGGTACAACCAGCAACTCGGCTTGAGTAAACCAAAAATTATGATCCATTTTCAGCTCTTTGCCCCAGCAATTGTTCCTAGCCCTCGCGATTTGATTCTAGCTAATTGCCTTTTCAACGTGTAACAGATGTATTACTTCAATCTGAATCCATTTGTTGTTGAATAATAACTCAAAACAGCACCAACTTTGGAGTCACCTTCTCTCTAGAACCAACTTCGGTAATCTCTATGGAGGGTTCAGGCTACTTGAATCATATTTATCCTAGGTGAAAACTGAGTACACCAAAAACGGCTGACACCCTTTTTCCTTTTTTGCTCTAACAGAATGCCTTTATAGAAACATATCGAAATCCAGCACATAAATGCAAAACCACAATACTAACTGCATCAGAGTTCATTGCAAATTGCATCTCGCATGGTACTGAAAGAAGGATAGGCATAAAAGTTAGAACTGTTTCACATAAATACCAAATCGGATTAGGCTAGCTCTGACAAAATCAAATAACATAACTACTCCAGAAAAGCATACTAATAATATTCAACTTTGAATACGACTGAATCACACTTCCCGGTGAATCGATTCGCCTGCTCCGACAAGATGTTATAAATATAGACACTTCAAAACACATTGTGAAACATCATGAAATACTAAGAATTTTGAGTTTGACCTCATGAAATCGTCTCTTCATTTGATTATGTTCTGAGAAATTGTCGAACCTTTTAGAGTATATCAAACTTAAGAATGTAACTCTTTACAAGTGGCAGAATCAACCATTAAAACCTCTAAAACAAACAACCCCCCAGAACTTTCAAAACCCAAATAAATCTGGAAGTTGAAAGACTATCTACTTTTGAAGGTTAGTTTATCTTGATAATCAAATGACCTCACCATTTATCAATTGCTGTGGAGAACTCCGCTCAACTGCTCGTAATCATTTTGACTGCTGCTGATGTACAGATGTAAATATGAAGAAAACTTCATCTTCATTAATGGCTAAAGGTTGATACTCAGTGACTATCCTCAAAAGGTTTCCCACATGTGGCACCAGGAAATGCTCTATATTTTGTGGAAAGGATACTTAAGAAAGCATCTTGGCGTATTGAATAATCTCCATGTACTTGATGGGCTATAATAAGCATGACAGCTGTTTCTTGTAACTAGGACATCCACGTTTAGAACCATTAACTCATTGAACAATCTCCCTGTATTTGATGTGCTGGAAAGAGCATGAAGACCATTTGTGATGAAACCTTTTAGACAAATTTGGGACAACAACAAAGCAACAGGTATCTGAAAACCTGTTTCTGGTTATCAGTTTAGTCTTAGGTGGAAACAGAAATTTTCAGCATTTAAGGGGCCTGCTAAGGCAAAACTGTGCCATGTTGTCAGTCATACATATGGAGGTGACAGTAAAAAGGGTACTAATCTAATAGAGCAGCAAAGAAATAAGGAAAAGAAACTCTGGGAAATAAATAACACCAGACCAACTACAGCAACAAAAAGTGCAACAGGGGGGGGGGGGGGAATCCTTACCATTCTTAGCTCTTATAGGTCAAAGAATATACCATAGAAATTACATGAATAGGTCCGTCGAAATGAAACCTATTAATAGCAGAATAACGGTTCCTGCCTACAGTTTCTGACAGGATAGCCATATCAGATTACATAGGACTTCAGAAAAAACCTACATTACTTAAAAGCTAAATTGGCACAACCAGAAATAAGACGAAACACTTAAACAAAAGAACACCAAATAAACATGACCAAATAGTTCCACTTGCCGGGTGAATATAGGCATCTTGAAGGAACTGAGTATATCAATATGCAAGGGATGAAATCTGATCAAATTTGCATATCCTTCATAGAAATTCATTCAAAAACTCTCTGCCTGTTTTTAATGATTCACCATGAAAGTACTGTTCCTATCATTGTGAATCTCTGTCTAAGTGTTTACATGTCCAAACAAAGGCAAAAGATTGCATGGCTACTCCATTACTAGAATCTAAATATGGACACTTAGGTTTGACAAGTCTGCTACAGAAAGAAAGGACTCCTAATAAGTTCACCACCTAAGCTACTCCCATTTACCATGAGAACAAAAAAGTTGCACGCAACAAGAATGCCTAAATTTCACAAGCCCCCAAACCCCTAAGGAAAAATACTTACAGCACTAAGTTAAAACATACCCCCTGTACAGGACAACGTAAAAGCAACTGCACAGCAAGGTCAAGATTTTCGATATTTATCAACATATCCCTGCAGAAAATAGATTAAGAATCAAACTTTTGATGGTTTTAATCCTGGAGATACTACACAAGAAAAAGTTATTTCAATATACGTTATGCCCCTACACTCACCTCAACGAGTTTTGCAAGTTTCTCCTGAGATGCAGACATATACAGCTTCACTAACTCTGGAGTGTTTGGAACCTGGTGAGGTGGTATGGTGCTGAGAACTTTCTCAACTGATTTTTTAACTATAATTTTGTGTGCGTCTTTGCTTAGAACACCCCCATGCCAACTTGGCCTCAACAACTCTTTCACAACTTCAACCAGTGTAGCATGAAAATTTTTCAAAGCTCTTGATTCTTCTACCTTAAGATCAGCATCAGCTTCAATCATCTGTCTAGTCCTCTCTTCTTTACCTTGTGACCTATATTGAGATTGACCACCACTTTCCATTTTTGAATCACAATCAGCAGAATTTTTATCTTCCATGAAATCTCTGAAACGATCAGAACCTAGCAACTTCTTTTCTTTCAGCAAAGACTTTTTATCTTTCCATTCCGCACCAAGATTTTTATCATCATCTTTTCTACAAACATCTTTCCCTGTTATTGAGTAATTATTTGAACTACATTCTGTCCCAAGAGTCCCAGTCACAAACGTCTCTGCATTTCCTTCCTTACGAGTTCTAAGTGGAGAAGCTTCCTCACCAGAGTTAATGTCCTCAATGCTATCATGAATGGGGTCATATAGACTCCGAGAAGATATATTTGATAGCAAACTCTTGGTGAAAGGATATAAGGGCCGAAAAGGAACAGAAGGTTCCCAATTATAAGGAATCTTTACGATGGATCTAACTGAGCTTTGCTTATCACGAAAAGGCTTGGTTTGAGAGAGATTCTCGGATTCAGGCCCAGCACGGGGAGAAGAGCTTCGGCCCACTGATGACCTGGAAGCCTGATGCTCTAGATCACTGTCTAACAGTTTTTTACTGCTAAGCGGATCTCCATTCCAAGGACAACTGAAAGATAAAGGCGATCTATGTAGGGAGGACACCGAGACTGGTAGATTCTGATTACTAGTCAACAGATTTCCACTCCCACAAGTCATTTCCTCTGAGCAAGTAGCATGAGAGGCATTTCTCTTATTCTCACAATTTTCTGACAGCCTAGAACAGCAATTTGATAAAGCTCCCTGACAAGAGACATCTTTATTCATCAGCACAGATTTTCCTTTATCGTCTTCCAAATTCAAATCTCTTCTAGAGTCTTGCAAAGGGGGCTCCAGGAGATCACAATTGGGTAAAGGCAAAAGCAACTCTCTTCTACTCTTCTCTCCATGATTTCCTCTATGTTCAGTGACCTGAATAGATGACGTCACTGCACCACAAATATCATGCAACTAGATCAGGTCTATTATCTTGAAGGTCGTAGGACATGGAAAAAAAGAAAAACCACTTTTCCTCACAAAATTATCTAGTCTAGTATAATAACCAAGTATTATTACCTTCTCTAACTTGGAATTCACCTTTTTTCTGTGCAGAATCTGACATTTCCCGCTCAGCTTGACTACTGATATCTATTTGATCCTTGACATGTGAGAATCTGCACGAATTCCCTTTTATACACCAACCTTTAGCAAAGAATTCACATAAAGCTGCAGGTCTTTTATTGCTGTCATTGTTAAACTGTAATTCAGGAGTAGAACTTCTTGGCCTAATCCTGACAACCAAAAGATGATCATAAATGGTAACAGGTTATGACTACAACAGGAACTAAAAACTATTACGAAGACACAGTTCTTAACAAAATATATCTAACTTCATTGCAATGAAGAACTACGGAACCTTGAATCCTCTCCTGGTACACGATAACTTCTTTCTTCAACGTGTAGTTCGTTCTTAGCCTCCTTACTAGAACCACCGATATGTGATGTGGCCTCATCCACTGCTCCAAAGGGTCGGCTATCAATTTCACCAGTTATTCCATGATATATGGGGGTTAGTTTTCCTGCAGACCCATTTTATTTTTAAATCAGTAATCCTTTAGGAACAAAAGGTATTGAATTCATAATGAGCTTCCATAAAATTCACATTGCGACTAAACTCCTAACCATTAACTCTAGATTCCTCGGTATGTCTTGCCCCACTCGAATCAGAAATTCTGCAAATGCTGAAATTGACTTTGTTATCACCAGCATTTGATGGTAGATTCATCACTGATTTTCCAGGAATGGTAGAACCAGGACACATGAGCTGTTCCGCACTGACAGGCTCTATAACTTGGTCAATATCTATTATGAAGAAATAGAAGTCAACAAACAAAACAAACCAATCATCTCCACCATTCTCCACAAGAAATAGGGACTATGATAAGATTTGGTAAAAGCAACGAGTCTAGGTACCCAGTGCACCAATTCTTTCAAATCAAGGGTACAAGCAACACCAACATGGACAAGGGCACAGGGTATGGTTTGCATTGTGGATTTAGTTCAAGCATTTGGAGTGGAAATATACTATTGAATATAGTTTTCTAAAAATTTCTGTCATCAAATTACTGGGCATCCTGTGCAAAGATGTTCCCAACCTTTGCTTAGCCACTTAATGCTCTGGTATCTAATGTAGGTATACTAATAATCAATATATCATTCATCTCATTAAAAATGTACTTCCATACATATTAAATTCACTAAATCAACCAGACACTATGTGCAAGGTAAAATGTCATTGCAAATATCAACATAAACTTGCTCCTTCAAAGTTTCATCTATTTCGGGTTAACTTCTTCACCTCTTTAACCAAAAGC